AACACATATTGAAAACATTCAATATATAAATATATTTTATATAAATTACTATAAGATTAAAGGAATTTGTATGATTGAAAATAATATGATAAATCATTTATAAATATAAGGAAAAGTAAGGAAGATAAATGACTACCCTGTAGAACATGTAACATTACTTTAATATTGTTAGAAAACCAGCCTTATATGTTCAATTTTTGAACTTTATCTTCTAGATAGGAAGAAAGCCTCAAAAGAATAGGATTTCTTAATCCGATAAAATAAAAATTTATCACTCGTGACTAATTATTTAAAATGTTAATTTAAAAGTAAAAAAATATTAAAAATATTTAACTGAAAAAGCCACAAAAAAATTACTAAAAATCACGGATATGAATTTCGGGAACAATGTTACCATTATCAACGCTAAATACATACGGACATAAGTTGTCGATTTATAACTTACTAGATCCAAGTTTGTGTAATTTGGCTATTCATAATTAGTGATCGACTTTATGCAACGCCTTTGGTAAATCTGTGAAAATGGTGCCAACTTGGTTATACCTTAAAAAATGAGTAAAATATTAATGTATTAGTCACTGGAGGTTTAGCTGGTTGAAAACCATGACTAGCATACTTACAAATATTTTTGATAATACATTTCATTTTGAAATAGACCTATGGTTCATTACAGAGATTTATCTTCAAATTTCCAAATATGCACAACAAAGCTATGTTTCAATGCTTTAGGTACGACGCCTGACTTTAAAGACAAAAATAAATATTTTTATGGGTTTTATGTATGTCTATTTTCAATGACTTAATGTTTCAAAATTGAATCAAAATTTCAAATTAAATTTTTCTCTAAAACACAGAATAAAAATAAATAAATTTCTATAGTTTAAAATATTAGATAAATTCTATCTATAAGGAATTTTGCTGCTTATTCTAATTCTAGTTTCAGATTTATTTCAACATATTTAGTTTTTGATATAATTACTAATTAAGTGATAATTATTATCACTTAAAAATTCATAAAAAATATTAAAAAAATTTTTTGTCTTGAAATTTAAAATTTGTTTTATTTTTGTTATAAAAAAGTAGAAAAGTAATTTGAGGCTACTATGACAATTTGACCCAGTATTTTTTTAAAAAATTAAGCTGAACTTTCACTATAATTTGGTTTAACTCCAAGTTTAAATTTATAATCATAAAATAAACAATGTTATAAAGATTTTAAAATTGTTATATTGTGTTTTAATGAATAATTAGAAAGTACCATAACTGCTGTCGATAGAAAAAAAAATGAGTAAGTCACAATATTTCGTAAGAACTAATGTTCTTCTGTTATAATTACTTCTCGATCATTGTAATACTTAAATAAAAATAATTTATGTTTCACAAATTAAGGTATATTTTTACGCTGAACACAGTGGTTTAATTAAATTTTATTTATCTTTGTTATTTTTTCAAATGTTTAACTAATAAAAAAGAAAGTGTTAGATAATAAAAGTTACAAAAATATTATAAAATAATAATCATGGATACAATTTTCTGAAAAAATTTGGATCACAAATATTAAAAAATATTCCTGATTTTTATTTAAGGATATAATTAACAAATTTTTAAGGAACAATGAAAATTAATTACTATTGGTAATTGTACATTAAAAAACTGTCATTTCTTGAGTTGTAATATGAGCATTGAACTCTTTTATATATCTTTCCATTTAGATAAATTCCCAAATAATTTGGATGAAGTAAATGATGAACAAGTGGAAAGATTTCATTAGGTTATAAAACAGATGGACTATCTTTACATTGGAAGTTGTGGTTTTGTATTAAAATAAAATACTAGAAATCATTATTAAATTAAGTAGTATAAAATAATATGAAAATACATTTTTTGTTAAATTTTCAATATAATAACTTGCACTCATGTAAAACATTAATATGTTCAAATTGATATAATGTTAGCAAAAGCTGTCAAATCATTTCCAGATTTCGTTAGATAAATGATTTATTGATACTTTTTCTGTATTGTTTTCTCTTTTTCGTTTTATTATGTAAATTAACTATTGAGTAATAAACTTTTTTCCATATTCTATAGACAATTTAAATGTACAAAACAGGTTCGAATAAATCGCCAAAATTATTTAAATACAATTAACTGAATTCTATAAGTAATAAAAGATAACTATTATTATCATTTTAATGATAGTAAAAAAATTTATAAAAATATAATATTTTAACATTATTAAAATTTTAAAACGACACTTAAGTATACCCTTATTTCATTGTAAATAGTCTAAATCTAAATTTATTGAACAATTCATATTTTTGATAATTGCCCATACAATTGTTACTTATTTATATTATTAGTTGTATTGTTTAAATATTGAAATTTTGAGTTAAAAAATGTCTGCCATAAGATATGTATCAAATATTTTATGTCAACCGTTAGTTAAGTGTTTTTAGGTTTGAACTTATGTTTTCCTTAATCACATCTACACTAATTTTACAATGTAATTTATTGATGTCCAATTCATTCTTATTTTCTAGTTTATCTTTACAATTGCTTAATAAATCTTATTAAATATAGCTATTAAAAGTTATTTAGTTAATATGAACTTTTTGAAAACTGCAACCAGTAAAATGCTAGTATTATATAATTTGAGTATTGTAAATTTTGTTACCACTTAAAGGAAAATTATTTTTTGTATGACTTGATAAAAAATGAAATGAGTTGTCTTATTATGATCTTATCTGATAAGATTTTGTAAATAATTAATTTCTGATAATTAAAGTTATTTTACAATAATAAAAATTATTTTCTTTATTTTTATAGAATGATTTATTTTAACTTCAAAAGTTATTATAGATCTAAAACAATTTATTATAACAAAAAGTTAAAAAGTGAAAAACAAATGTCATTTCTTAAAATGTGTTATAGTTTTAAAATATAAAACTTTAGAAACTCATATGTTTAAACCTTTAAATAATATTTGAGAATAATTTAATCGAATTAATCCGTGTATTACTTATCAAACATATCATAGTGTAACAGAGCTAATGTAAACTCCCTGAAATTCACATGATGCAACTTAATAAACATAAATGCGTGTAAAAATCATTACTTAAACTTTTTTTATGAATTATTATTGTTTAGCAAGAACATTAATAAGTATATGTCATGATGATAGATTATTGACAATTTTTTGTAAAGTGGGGTTATGTTTAAACTAGAAGGAAGTATAAGGTCTCTTAAAATGCACATATATAGGCCCTACTTATTAAAAAATATAATGTATTAATTATAATACATTTTATACATCATATAATATTTTATGATACAAAAATGAGGCATTTCTACGATTTAAATCTTATGAAGTTGTTCGATAATTTTATGCAAAAGACATGTTGTTAGGAATATATTTTCAATAGTATAATTAGATTATTTAAACTTTTATTTAATATATATTTTAAAAAGTTAGAATAAAATAATGAACTTTTTATGCAGATGTTTTCATTTTTAATTATTTTGTAGTAGAAAAATCAATGTTTTAAATAAATGTCACTAAATTTAATATATAACAAATTGTATTACAACAAGATTATACATTAAAGAATTTTTATTATGAAGAATACAAAAGTAGTTTTTAATAAATCGTTAAATTTTATTGATATTTATTTTAAAATAATTAAAGATTTATTGTAACATGTTGATAATTATACTTTCCAATCATTAAAGGAATATAAAAAACTATTGAAGTCTTATTAATGATATGACTAAATTTGGAGTTTCATTTGTATCTATTCATAATATTTGATTTTCAACTTTATATTGGCTAAAATTATTTTTACTATTCTATTTATGAATATAATAACAGTCATATGAAGTTTAAATTGACAAAAAAAAAAACGTTTTACTGGTTTTAAGTGGTAGTAGTTGTAATAAAAATGAAGTTTATTTAATAATTATGAATACTGACAATGTTATCTCTTTTTGGCATTAACTTCATTCTTATTACAACTAAATATCATTTGTATCATCTACACCAATAAAAAAAATTATTCTTTTCGAGATTCGCGTTGAATAAAACAATTGTTGTTCTTATTATTTTCGTTAGTAGACGATCCATCTTCCTCAACTTTATCATTACTTTTCCTTTTATAGTTGAATTTTCTTCAGAAATAGATTTATCTTTATGAATAACGATTACACTTATTTGTTATTACAGTCGAAAAATTATCGTTCATATTTATTAACCCAATGTATTTTAATTTCAAATAGTAACTGAAACAATATAACAAACGGTAATGAAGATTTTATTTAGTTAATTTATGAAACGAGATCATTTTATGATCCTTGATGCACATTATAGACGAGATAGTCACACACTCCAACAGTACTTAACGTTATATTGAGGGACATATCCTTAAAATCACCCATAGCTATGTTCATTAGAAAAAAATTCTATTAATAAAATATAAATTAGTTAAATATCATTATCTCTGGTAATTGAAAAATGTTCCCATCATTTTTTCTTCGCTCAATTTGAGCAATATAAGCTTAATTTTTATTTTATTTTTAACAAAGACAATCGTTTTTCATAAGTTTTGTCCAGTTAGAAAGTCAAATATAGTTTTAATACCTAAATTATTAAGTGGGGTAAAAATAAAAAGTAATCAAATTAAAAGAAAGTGTGCATTAATAACTTTGGTGAAACGTAGAACAATACAAGTGTATAAATGAGTATGAAAACCGTGTATTATGCATATATATCTTTATATATATGTAAGTGATATGTGTAACCGAACACTATTGTACGTGACGTATAAAGAAATATCGATGCAAATTCCGTACTTAATTAAGTGTGACTAGAGAAATAATAACAAAAAAGCATCTACGTGGGAATAGAAATAGTGGAGTATCTTAAAACAATAGTGGGGGTGGCGATGAGAGATTTCTATGATTACTGGTCCGTGACACCCTATGGTCTAGATGAACGATGGCTAAACACAAACTAAAATAGTTTTTAATCAGTTAAATAATAGCTGACCGTTAACAGTTAAATGTCCGAGTGAATTATATTAATTTTTAGTTGTATAACACAAACAAAAAATGGAATGGAGAGGACATAAAATTTTATTAACTTTTGTAAGTTTGTAAACAAATTAAAAAAAAAAACTTGTACTTAAAGAATTTTTAACGTGCGCAGAAAGTTTCTTTTCAACTTATTTACGTTTATTTATAAATATTAAAAATAATGTTTTTTATTTTATAGTTAATAACAGTAAATCTAATATACTCAACGGACTGCGAAGAAGAAAAAAAGTAAGTATTAAATAATATTACAATATAACTAATTATTTTAATTTTTAAATAATTTAATCACATAAAAAAGTCAGAAAATTTTCTTATTATTTTTTTTTTATTCAAATTTATAATATTCTGTAAAATTTCCTGAATATGTTTTTAGCTATCCATTAGTTATAAATCATATGCAGATTAAAAAAAATCTTTATATTTTGAATTATATAACTTTTTTATTTGTATTTTCAAGTATGTATAATGTAATACTAACGATAAAAATTGAAAAACTCGAGTATAAAATATCAATAGTTGTCTCCCTCCACTAAAAGTAGTGGCGTATTTAGGTGGACGATATAGGCAGTTCCTGTTCCCCTTGTCGTGAATATTAAATACGGCTCTGATGATACAAAAGAAAAAACTTAATTAATATTGTTGTTTCGATATGATTTTGTTGATGAATTGGATAGTTTTACAGGGGTGTCATAATTATTTTTGAAGTGTATTTCACAATTTTAAGAAGAATAAATAATAAATTAAAGGAAAAACTCAATAAAAATATTTTATTTTTCTTAGGGTTATCAAGACTCTTTGAAGTCCCATTTCAAAATAGCTAACAAGATTTATACGTTGCATAGTATCTTAATACTGTCTATGGGTGATCTCAGTCCTAAAAATAAAACATTAATGTCAACGATTTTTTTATTTTTTTTAGTGAACAAATCCTTGAACCTCTTTCGCTAATATCCGTAGCTTCCTTTGAATGAATTTATTACTACTACGTTTAATCATAGTTTAACTTAAGGACAGTTTTTGGACTTGGTTTTAGACAAAAAAAGTTAATTGAAATTAAATGAATTTTATATTATTAATATTTAATTGACAATTTATCTAAATGTTTTCACATTGATTCAATCTATACTGATATTAAAAAAGCATTTGATATAATAAATCATAAATTTAGTACACAAATTAAGTAAATGAACAGTATGTTGGAAAATTTTAAAATAAATATCATCGTATTCAACCAAAAAGGTTAAATACGGATCAATAGTATGTAAAGATCCTTATTGATGTCCATTCATTAAATCTTTGACCAAAGACTCTTATCTAATAATATAAGGGGCTAAAATGTTCTATTCAAAAATGGCCAATAGAATGACTGTAATAAAATGTCTAGTGTACAAATTAATGATAGGAATGTCAATAAGTAATTTTTTAACCCAAAAATTGTTAAGAAATTAAAAAATAAAATCAGTACAATGAATAATTATTTAATCTTGTGTGACGGATATAGATAAATAGTATCATACAAATACTGTCATTGTGGTAGATTTGTTATTATACATAGTCAATGATACGCAACGGAAATTATTTACTTTAATAATAAAGATTATATAAGATTTTTCTACATAATCAACATAATAATATGGTTTTGTATTAAGTGGACATATTTGGTTAAAATTGGAAACAGTAGCAGTTATGTATTTTAAATTTTAGTATCTAGAGCGAGTAATTGACTGGTTAAAACTAGGAACATTTTTATTATGTGAGAGTAGTTTTGGTGGTTTGATAATTATTAATAAACGTTTGAAAAACAGTCGAGTTGCCTAATTATAAAATAAATTTAATATAGAAATTAAAATTAAGAAAAATATTTAAAAACAATGCGTTTAATTTAAAAAGCATGATGATATGAATAAATACTAAATCGTTGAAAACGGCCAAAAGTGGCCTAATGAATATTTCATCAGTTTTTGTAACAATAATAACAATAAGATTAAAAAACAATTTAAATAGTAAAAATGATCAATTTCAAATGATTTAACTACTGAAACAATATAAAAATACTTATCGTTTTTATTTATTTAAGAATTTTTCATCTTTTTGAAGAGTTTCAAAAATAAAATCACTTGATTACCTTATATATAAGGGTGACTAACTTAGTCCTAATTACAATATGATTTATATTTTGAGTTTTAATGCGTAACTGAAAGTTATTGGTTGTATTCTGTTGATTTTTTTTGTATCACTATATACATCAACTCCGCTCTAATTGGACCGATTTTATGCCAGAAGATCACAAAACATATCTAGTTGAATCTAAAAGAGTCAAAGTTTTATATTTTTGAAGACATAGTTAATGAAACACGTGGTATAGTAAAAATAAATATTGAAATTAAATCGAAATATACTTTACGTTTAAACTTTTATAGAGAGCCATTATTTCTTTTATTAATCATCTAAATTATTTAAAAAATAATTTAAAATTAAAAAATTATAGTAGGTATAATTATTACTTTCGTTTAAATTTGACAATATGCTATCACACAATAAGTAAGTATCGAATTGAAAAACTAATGAATAATTTAAATATGTAGTTTCGATGATTTCCAGAGTAATAATTTATGTTCCGAGTCGCGTAAAGACTGTTCATCATCACCATCATCACGTGATATACACGGAAAAAGGTCCTCATAAAAACGCAAAAGTTCAAGCAAAGCCGTGTCCGGATAAGTTGATGATTCAAAAATATCTCAAATCTTCGCAGGAATATCAAAAACAAAGCATTCCAACCGCCACCAATCCCATTACATATGTCACCAACAACAAATTACTAAAATATAAAAGACACGACCCTACTAACGACGTAGCAATTTATCCGTCTAGACAATTACCATTTGTACCGGTTTCGTCATATGGACAAATGAATAATTATCCCAGTAGATCAAAAATTATTACTCGTATTTATTATGGTTGACAAATAAAATTAAGCATTACTTGGGAATTTTGTAAATTTGATTATTATATTTGAAATCATACCAAATAAATGTATATTTTTAATATAGAAACAAAATTGTATGTTACTTATTATATTGTTAATTTGATAACGTTCAAACCGTTAAATAATTTTCTTTTTCAATGTCCATTGCGTATTGATGTTGAAATAAAAATTAAATACAAAGTTAATCATAAGGCAAAATGAAATATTTTTTTAATAAAAATTCATTGAAAATTTACATTTGTACGCCTTGGTCATTCTTATACCTTCTAGGCATATCTAAAGAACCCAGCAATATACCTTACACAAAATAAAAGAAAAAAGGTCATGGTTTCGTCCAAAACATAGTTTCTGACAACGAAAATAAATACCCATAGAGGACTTACAAATTGAAGCGATGACACTGACTAGAGTCAAAAGCCCGAACCAAGCAAAACCAGTCTCTATTCATGATAAAATCATTAACATCGGTTCACTATATGTGTTTTCTACAAATATCTACCTTTTCCAAAGAGGCAATTTTTAACCTATGTAAATGAAATCAAATTTAATTTTAGTTTAGTCTTTTGCAGTACGTAGGATGCATATTTACATACTGAAGTTCTGTATCGTCAATTTTGACTTAGGTGTTGCCGTCCGCCGCTATTACTCCCTCTATTATAGTTTATACTGCTATTGTAGTAAATATAATAGCATATTAATAGTTTCAAATGTAAAAATGAAAATAAAAACCATAAATAAATAATTAATTTTACACTTGTAAGAAAATAGCTCTTCCACATGTCATAATTGAACCGTTTTGCAGACATGTGTCATACCACGTGCGATTTTCATAAGCGTTCTGTAAAGTATGTGTGTTCGTGTATTAGCCAACCTTGACATAGATATCGGAAAATCCAAATGAAAAACGGAGAAGCAAATTACCTTTACTTTCACCCGAGAGGCGTCAATCGTGTTCCGATAATTATGCAATTGTCTATCTTGATGGGGTATGGTCTGCTGAACGTAACTGCTGTTGAGATCATTGGCCGTTGTTACATATCCACACCGCGATACAATTTTAATGTTAAACCCTGTCCGATAGTGAACTATTTTAAGAAAAAAATGGTCAATTTGATGCTGTAACACCTTCAGTGTATTTATTATTATTGCGAAATGTTAAATACTGTCAAGGAATACGTCTTGTCAAACAATCTTCGCAAAATAATAAACAACACGTTTTCTGCAATCGTAGACCACAAGTGCCTAATTCAACAAGTAAAATAATTTTGTAAATTCAATTTTTTTCATCCGGCTTAGATTTTTAATTAAGTACATAATAAATTAATATAATCACTTTATAGGAAATCTAAATAAAAATTCAAAAATAAATAAAATGGAAAAGTAAATGAAATTAACTTGATCAAACTTTTCAATGTAATTATTTAACTAAAAGTAAATTATATAATTTAATGGCAATTAAATATATATATTTCTTTTTAAATCACGATTTTTTCTTAGCATTTAAATTTTAAGCAAATCTGCCAATTTCTTTCAACATTATTTATTTTGATTCTAGAGTGAAATGAATTTGTTTAAATTCTAAAAAATAATATTAATTATTCATTGAAATATAAGTTTGTCAGGAAAATAAATATTTTTGTGGTAGTTATTTTTTATACTAACTAAAAAATAAAATGTTATTAGATATATATTACTATCATCTGATAGCCGGTACCCAACTGCTCAATAATGCATAATTTTTTTAAGATTTATTGCATTACGGAAAATATAAAATCGGTAAACTGATAGTATGTTTTCCTAGACTATATTTCAGTTGCAATCTGTCTTTGAATGAAACTATAGCCAATGAGTACAACGATTATTTAATCTTATGACCCACAACAAATTGTGATAATTTTATACATATATAAAAGAAACATTGCACTTATAGTTAGATACTTAATTTAAGTACGATTTAAAAATCGGGGCTAAATTAGAGAAGAATAATTGATAAGCACAGTGGTTTATTTTTAATTTATTCATGGCATTAATAATATTAAAATGTTTCATGCAGAGAGTTAGTATTGTTAATTATATAATAATTCATTTGCATCTTAAGTTAGAGGTTAATGAAGTTCTAAGTTGTTGATTTCATTTAATCGATAAATTTATAAATGAATCATAAAACCTACTGCTGTTAGTAACTAGCTCGTAAACCCAAATGTTAATTTAACAAATAGGTGGACACATAATTCAATATTGCGGTTATGGTCTAATGCTATGGATTCACCGTTTTACATAAGATCAATATTACTTAGGAAATATATTTTAAAAATAATACATTTTCAACTATAAAAAACAGATTCAACTATTATTATAAAACTGTAGATAAAATGTTATACGACTTAGGTCATTAATCAGGATTGTTGTTTTTGAATGTGTTAAAACACAAAAATTTATATTGGTATTATGCAATATTATAAACTTTTTAAACATGTTTTTTTCTAACAACTCTACATAAATACATATAAGAAAAAACAACTAATTTTTATTAGATTAACAAAAATTCAATTTTGCAAAATTTTAAACTTTCTATAAACGGTTAGTGATAAATATAAGTAATGGTCATTAAACTTACCAACATAGTTTTAATAATAAACACAAAAATTGTTTTTACAAAAAATTAGTCATTAGAGTGCTTTTGACTTAAACAGTTTTTAATAAATGTCTTAAGCAATGGAAATTAAATAAAAATGCGTTACAAGAATACTCTTTACAACACTAATCTAGAACAGTATCACTTATTGATTAATATTGGGTATGTTATTATTGTACAAATATTAATTATAAAACCTTGAGAAATGTCTGTGTATAAACACCAATCCAGCATGAAATTGACAATGTTTATTATACGCATACTTTTTAATGCCGTGACCAAAAACGGCTGAGTAATATTGGCGCTTTGATTAAACGTATTGTTTTTCTAGATTTTGGAAAAATTATTGTCTTTGGAGGTCGCGTATGAAATATGACGAAATTAAACGGACATAAGCAGCGAGTGTGCAAGAAAAATATCCGATTTATTTGTACATAATTACATTTCATATAAATTTATTTACAAATTATTTAACGTAAAAAATAACTACAAGATAATTTACAAATTTTTTACGGAAACAGTTCTTAAGTAAAACTAAATAGAGAATAAAATCATGATAATCTGTGTCGGATGATACTAATTGTCTCGTTAGAAAATTAACAGTACCATACGCCAATTTGATGGGACCGATTGAGTCAATAACAATAATTGATAATTATTATTAATTTGAAAATATATTTCTAATTATTCACTATATCACTGATATGAATATATTGACTTTTAGGTTATCAATATTTATTAATCCAAAAAATGCTATAATATCTCTCATCTAGAGCGCAGAAAAACATTTCATTCCGAACTAGAATAAAAAAAGAGCAAGCTATTTAACCCTATATACTCTAAAATGGATAACTAAATACGTCGTCGGGAAGTGTTTACTTTTTCTACAAAATTTTTAACACTAAAATAATTCCAACATAGGAATATAATAATTTGTTAGAACAGATTTTAACATGATGTATCATTTATATAGTTTAAAACGCTGTAAAAAAATATACAGCTATATAATATGTATCATACATTACACATAAATTGACAATTCATAATAGAAACCTGTCATTTCGGCATAACGTAATTTTGAAGTTGATGAAATTCTTTTTGAGCTATAGAATTCATACATTACAAACAAATACTAATAAAATCCTCAATTATAAAATAACAATGATAGATAACACTAAATGTGTCTAAATCTTAACAGTTACCGCTACTACTTAAAATAGTATGATGTAAGTATAGGATTTTTTTCATCCCCCCTAGACCTTTTAACGAACCGTAACAAACCACTTATATATAACAGCACGCGCTACCGAATACCGTGTCTGTTATTGCACGTGTCGTTCGCTATTCGCGGTATTTATTCAATTCATTTATTTTTGTGCGTTTTTTTCATAACTCAATATTATATTAAAGTTTATCGTATCGTGATAGTATTATTTTCAGTTGTTTTTAGTTCTTTTAATGGTATTTATTTAACTGCAATAAAGACCGTTCACTCATAGGATATGGTAAGACCATAAAGTACAAAATTTCATGATTTATATCTCAACCAAAAGCTTATTAAGGATAAACGATTATCTTACACTATCATATTTTTTTATATTTATTAGTCCACTTCATATTTAAAGTTTTCTACGTTTAACAGTGGTAGAATAACTTTTTATAGAAATAACGCTATTGTGAACATTCGTACAGAGACATGAACGCTAGTCAATCGTATTTTTATACTTCCTTCCTACATTTCTGTCTTATAATTGCCAAATTATACTAAAAAAATCTTTTTTGCGGTTATGATCAGTTAATACACTTTTAATCCACAGTATAACAATGGTGGTACCAGTTAAAATTTCTTATTGAAAGTATTGCAAGATACAAAAATAAGATAACTGCAACTCTGCAAAGAGACAGTTGATTTAAACTTCGATTCAATAGTAAACGAATTCAGTGGCGCATTTATATTTCTACCATACCATTATTTTAGATAGACAGCATTTAAAATTAAAATGACGTCCACTAAAAAAAAGTCTCTAAACCTCCTTCAGCATACCTTAAAACAGTTACTAGATAAATTTGTTTTATTATTACATACGTACATTGGTCATAAATCAGGAGGTATATATTTTGATAATTTACTCCATTAATTATAATACAATTGGAAAAATAATATTTAGAACTACAGTAAATGAAATTGTTTGTTCTAGTAGTATTATGTATCTAAACATAATGTAATTTGATATACAGGGTGTTCAGTAAATAAGGAAACGAATTTCTATTGTACTCATTGTTTGTAACAATTTAACTGTTTCCTAACTTACTAAATACTCTGTATATATTTTTTTTATTAAGTAGTCATGGTATTTTGAAATACAATTTTTCAGCTTGCCCGGGCGTTTACCGTAGCAGTTGTAGCTTTACTGTGTTTCAGCAAATCCTTTGGAGAAGAAAGGTGAATCAATTATTCATTATGGTATAATGGGGTGTAACAAGTCACGGGGTGAATCGACTTGATGTTTTTGTTAAACGGTTATTACAGTCACAAAATTTATCAGAACTACATAGTACTTTGCTTAATGTTTTAATAAATGTTGTGCCAAACTGATTGACTCATTGACAAAAATTTTTCGAAAATCGATATGATTTGTCTCTGTGTCCAGTTACACACTATTCTACCGTATTATTCATAAATATTTAAGAATTTTTAGATTAAATTATACATTTAATACTCAAACTTATAATAAATCAATAAATAGTATGAAAGCTTAATTAGAATTTTACCACGACAAATTTAAAAACAGGACTTTTTAATTATGATGTGATAAAACAATAAAGTCATACAATACCTAATGAATTGATTTCATTAATTATAATATTTATTACTTTTGTGGTAAATGGGTCATATTATACGTTTTTCAACACTTAATAATACCTATTTCTTAATCTCCAAGTTTAACTCTGGTTTAAAAACTAATTTTTTGTTGCAAATATATGATTAAAATAATATTTTAAACTTTTCCAACATAGCTATGGAGACTTCCCAACAGGCGGAGGTGGTGATTTGGCATCTTATCACCATGCAGGAGGTCACAGCTCCCACGGTAGTTATGGAGGACATGGTGGTGGAGGTAGTGGAGGAGGAGGCCACGGAGGTGAGCATATTCACAAAGGAGAAGTGATCCATCGTCACGTGCACGAGGGAAAAGTGGAACATATTCACAAACATATTGGACACGCTGAACACGACCACAAACATGCTGGACAAGCACACCACGATCATAAACACACCGGTCATGCTGGTCATGATCATAAACACCATGGAACTGCAGAACACAAACATTCTCACTATGGAAAAGCCGAACATGGACACAAGCACGTGGGTTCTGCAGCACATTCTCATAAACACCATGGTGTTGGTGAACATTCACATAGTCATCACGGAAAAGCAGAACACTCTCATGGTCATCACGGCCAAGCTGAGCATAATCATAACCACGTTGGACATGCTGAACACGGCCATAAGCATACCGGACAAGCTCATCACGCGCACAAGCATCATGGATCCGCTGGACACACTCACAAACATCTTGCACACGCTAAGCATGCACATGCACATGGAGGCCATGCTGACCACACCCATAAACATCATGGACAAGCAGATCATTCACATGGTCATCATGGAAACTTTGGACATGGACATGAACACCATGGAAAATCACAGCATCAACATGCTCATCACGCTCAAGCTTCTCACGGTCACAAGCACTCTGGTCATCACGCACATTCTCATCATCATGGAGTAGAAGGTCATGGTGGTGGTCATGGTAGCCATGGCGGATATTTAGTAAAAAGAAACGACGGCGATCAGGCCGCAAATTTACAATCCGAAGGTCTCAGCAAGTTTTATAAATCTGCCTCCCAACCCGAACCATTAAAGATAAAAGATATTCCATTGGATGAATTCCAAGATACCAAAGTCGAAATTGCTGACTATGGTAGTGGTACCGGTCAAGTAGAATTGGAGAGATAAACCACTTCAAATACTAAGTTATGTATTCGTCTACGTTTGCCAAGATATTATAACCATATCATTTTATTTTTAGAATTCTAAAATTATGTTAATATTTTATTGTGCATAAATTGTATTATTTTGTTTTGCGTTTTTACGCACATATATATTAGTGCACATGTACTAATATATTTATTTTTTAACTCTAATTAATCTAATTTGTTACCATTTTATGAAATCAATATAATACTAGAAAATACATGAAGTATTTTTTATTTGACATAAATCACTTGTGAAGTTTTTACGTGTATTGTACTAAACATGGATAAACTTTAAAATAATACGCAGTACATCTTGATATATTTTTTAATTACTCATGAAATAAAAAAAAAGTAAGAAAGAGAGTATATCTAAAATATTATATTTATAAGTGAGTGTATAAGTGTACTCCAATATATAATATTATATGCATTACAATCAACTATAGATTTTGTAGCGTGAAAGATTTGTTTTTGTCGACAATTATTGCGCGATACCCTAGTTCGGTTTCATTAAACGAAATTAGTCAAGGGTGGTTTTAGGTTGTGTAATGTTATAATAGGTGGAAATTGGAGCCAATTAGGTGCATTACAATGCATGGGTCAGTTACGCAATATACTGTCATTGCTGTGAAAAAATAACGTTTCCGCCGAAAAACTGAAGGAAAATTATCAAATAATAATAACCTACATAAGAATATAATAACTTAAACAATTTTATTCAACGTGTAACACAATATTTGCAATTCAGTGTTGATATTTTTCACTAATTCTTGTATTTGGAGTTTCGAATCCAAAATCTGTACACTTTGGGTGTATGGACTGTAACGAACCCCAAATTTCTTGGGTATTGTCTTGGAAAATTGGCTGGTAAAAAACATTCTTATGAGTATTGACTTAAGTATAATTTACTCAAAACAAGCGTTTATTAAAACTTACATCATTTTGTATTTGACGCTTTCAAAACTTTCAGCCACAAAGTACAAAGGCTGATATTCAGTAATCGGATACTCTTGACAACCTGTAACCTCTGGATCGAAAGGCTTTAGTTGCGGTTTATCAGATAAACAGTATTGAAGCTCTCCGAATGAAGACAACAAACCAGCGCCGTAAGCTTTGAGCTGACCGTTTTGACGGCACAAACCAAACTCGACGGTGAACCAATAACACTTAAATAAAACAAAACTTTACATTACTTTTTACTTGTATGTCTCAATAAGAGTCATAATTGATTACTTTAGATATGAATTTTAATTATTGATAAGTTTCATCTATTTTTTTATAAACACAACGGATTTTAAATCCGTCACTGCTAAGATAGTTTGTTACTCCAATTATTAGACTAATCATTAGCAAACAGCGTTTTTTGTGACTGAGTATCTAACTAGTGACGCACCAGATATCTTAAAACTTATAAACTCACCCACACCGTCCCTCTAAATAGATATTAAATTGAATTATTACAATTATTGAACAGACATTAATCTCTAATAAAATGAACGTAGACTCAAATATTGATTAACAATTTCCTTATTTATATTGAATAATAATAGCTACACATATATACTTTTGAATAAATTAGTTTTCTACGATACTTGTTGGTGTTTTGAAATTATTTAGTCTTTATAACAAAATCTTTAATATGTTTATTACATACATAAAAATATAAGAATAAATTACAAAATAAATTTTTTCCTTATATAACAACTGATGAGAATTTAAATAAAATTTTAATAATAACACATTAAATTGTCAATAGTCTTACAATTAATTTTATTTATTTAAAACAAAATTAAAATCTCAAAAATTAAATTGTGTTATACAAGTAATAGTATACCATAAATGGTACAATGTAAATTACCATCTTTTAACTATTCATATGACATAACATACGAGTAATTTTCAGTTTTTTTTTAGATATTTAATGTAATTACAACTACATTTTAACAAGTGACTACTTGCAACTACTGACCTTCAATAGGGATGAGTGGTTAGTTGATGTTAAACCATGTAAATAAACTATTATAAGTAATTAAAACATTAATGGAGTGTACATAAATCTTTTTAATTTATTAAATCTGAAAAATATAGCAGCTGAAAAGTTATAACTTGAATAATAATTTGTATTCAATAGAATTTTGTCATGATAGTTATCATAAATTTATTAGGCAAATTATACGAATCCTACTAATTTATTACTAGCCCAACCTATAGCAATGCAGTATAAACATATCCATTTGATCAGTTGTTATTTGTTTAAAAATGTTATGTCTACATATGCAAACTATTTGTATATACTGAAATTAAGAAAAAAGGAATACTAATCTCTATAAAATTTATAAAAATTCAACCCAATATTTTCTTAAATTACCATAAAGTTAACCAGCTATAAATAATCTATTTTAATTGGAAATTTATCCTCTTATCAATTTTTTTCAATTATTGAAAGATAATTATAATAAATCAAGAGCCAAAAAAAAAGAGTAATGCATTTCTTTAGAGGTGGGTATACATTTTAAAATTTTCAATATTTTGCCCTACTATTTTTGACTTTGATGACCTTGATGACTATTTTAATTTAATACTTTCGTAATTAAATAATTGTTACAAAGTATTTACCGTTGCTAGTTTTTTTACGTATTCGTCGGGTGCTCCCAGAGACGCCAATCCAATTTCTTGAGAGAATTGAGCGAATTCCGGATCAGCAAATAAAGGAACGTGTCCTAATAGTTCATGACATACATCTGGTTCAGGAGTATACAAAGGTCGGCTATGATGCCTAATGTACTGCGTAGAATGGAATACCCTAAATGCCAATCCAGCTAAAAAGTCTCTAGATGAAAGCAACCCAGCCACAGGTCTTAAGGTAAAACCTGTACTATCTATAAAAAAAGATTAAACAATATTTACGCACCTTTACCTAACTTGATTAAAATAATTAACATATTTTATTTCATCCGGTTTTTGTAATCAAGTAAAAATTATTTAAAATTTTACCTTTTAAAAAATTAGAGATATCTTCAAGTTGTGGAATATTATCCTCTCTATATCCACAATTTTCAACCAATAAAGGAAATATGTGATTATATTCATTACAAGCATGAGTTGGATATAAACTGACAAGCTCTTTGAAAACAATACTCCAAGTTTCTGTCTCTTCTTTAGTGTAATCGATGCGTGGTAAGGGCTGCCCACTAAGAACAAGAACACTCATGATATACTTTAATCAATGTTAGATTTTGAAATAAAACGAATTTGATTTCAAAAAGATTTCTGCTTCAGTATTTTAACTTTTAATTTTTTTAATTTCATATTCTTATTTAACGTGTATTTTTATTCTATTTTATTCAAAGGAAAATTCGTCACTTACTGCTTGTAATTGAATGCAATATCTGCAAAGTACTTCCTCCGAGCCCTATACACCGGATCTGTAAAACCTGGATGGTCGGCATTCAGTTCTGATCCGTATGAAAGTATTTGATTGGCGTATTTATCAAGATCTCTAATTCTTTGAGGAAACCATGGGATATAATCTAAAATAAATATCACAAACATTCATTTCAGTATTATATTTTTTTTCGTTGATGAGGAAAAGGCTGAAGAAACATTATATCTTTTTGATATTTAAACTTTGTTTTAATTAATTCTTTTTTACTCAGAATCCATCTAAAAGTACAATTTTAAGTAATCGGTTTAGGGGGAGGTTGGATTTGGTTCTCATCGACATCATCCTGACTACGTTACTGCTACATTCAATTTAATGAGCGGAAAATTAATTTGTATACGTTACCATCGGACTTTCCGGTATCACCAGTACTGGAAACCACTGAACAATAAGCCATGGTTTTTTTTAACATCTCAACAACTCCGTCAACGTCGCCTCCGGGTGCACATTCTACAAAAAACTCATATCCATTAGGAATCCTCACTGACGACCGAGACTCAATATGCAATAGGTTTACATTGAACTCCTAAATATTTAACACGTGACAAATATATATAAATTGTATATTTCTGTAGTGACTCAAGTACTCGTAAGTAGTAAAATTGTCAAATGTTCTTTTATCGAATATTAAATCATAAAATAATTAATAACGTAAAAACTTACAAGAATATAATTTATTTTATTTTATATACACAAACAATTTTAATACGACGTACAGTTCACTTGATAAGTTAAGTGCACGTTTTTTATTTACCAAACATTTAACTTTTCTTTTGTTTTATTGTAATGTCAAATTAATCAAATGATCACCAGGTCTTACATAATAACATATTTAATTATAATAATATTTTAATTAACAATATATAATTACGAGTATTAAAGAAAAAGTTAAATACTGGAATTTACCTTGAATAGCCTTAAGGCTTCGGCTAATGTTCCAACACCTTCTATCTCTGGTGAAAAAATTAGTGTTAAAGATTTTTTTCCTTTATTTGTCGGGAAAGACCCGCTATGCAGAATTGGTCGCTAAAACACAATGATTAATCATTATTAAAAAATAATAATAATAGTATAAATAAAACCGTAGTCATTTTTCAAATACGCGTTTATTGATTATCGAATATTAAGATAAGAAAATAAATGCTAATAAAAATCCTAATGTAAATAAATATTTTTAGATAAAAAAAAACAAATTTTCTCAATAAAATAGAATTTTTATTATAAAGTTCATGAAAGAAAACATAATGTGTACATATCAAAAAACCCGATTTTAAAACGGCGGCTCTTAGAAAAAAGCCACAGAATTCAATGTAACTGCAATTTCAATGTCTTCAAGTAGTATTCATGTACTTAAAAATAAATAGAATCATATTATTATTTTAGAATTTTCATACTAAATATTATAATACTATTTCTCAGAACTGTTACATTACAGTGTAACACTTGAGTGACTGAAAACTTTTAAGTCCAATTTACTATTCATATTTATTTTAACGAATAAGTAAATAAGTTTAGTTAAACTGTACTTTCATAACGTTAACAATAATAGCAAAAAATGATGGCATAGTGGATTTTGCAAAAATGTTTCATGCGAATCTCACATTTATTTGTATCGGTATTGATTATTGGCAGTTAAATAAGACTAATTAATAAGTATGCTGTTATTGAACTTTGTATTTTTCGTTTTTTAATTGTAATGTTGCAAGATAGATTTGATTTCGTCTATTTTGCCTTATAAAACATTCAAATTTGGCTGATGTAAAATAACATTTTTCATTTCTCCTAATACAACTAATTAAAACATGTTTTCAACTTAAATAAAACACGTATATTTTTATAAACTTAGTTATGCGTTAATTTTTAAACATTTTTTTTAATGTATTTTGAACCCAAATTAAAAATTTTTTTAATTTAGAAATATTGGCTAATAAGTATAAATCGACTATTGTTGATCATTTGCAAATATTACTATAGAATTAACGTAAGCATTACTTATTGTACAAAAATCAAATCACTTAAGTTTGAATTTTAAAACTGACTTACCATTGAATTTCCATTTACTTGGGTAGTCCCGTTCATTTTTCTCCGGTATGCTTAAATAAAGACTAATGAATAAACACGTTGTATTGAAGTGAAACATTATTTAAGCTAAAATATCACTACCAAAACCTGTTTCAAGAATATTTGGACCCCACTTTTGAAACTGCGTACGTAGTATTTTCTGCATTGGATTTACCTACCTGATGTCAATTGATTTAAAAATTATATGAAATATTTTAGTTTGCAATAAGAAGAATGTTATTTATACTTCATCTTAAGTATAATTTTCTTGTAAATTATATTACGTTGTAATTGTTTATGTTTAATGTTCTGGGTAAACATATAAACTCAACAAATTATAATATTTCATCATATTTCTATTGCGAATCAAAATTTTAGCTTTGATGCGAAGCTGACAATTTTACCATTATACTGCATCCTTTAAACATGTGTTTAAAATAAAAGCTTGTGTTACAAACTATAAATTAAAAATAAATTTGTCCTAATGACTTGTCTTTTATATGTAAACGGGCACTGTATTTAAACAGAAAATGTTTTGTTTTTTTTAAAAATTACCATTCTTCCTGATGTTTTCTGTATCACTTTTTTTCAAATATTTATGCCTATATTATAAGTCAAACAGTATAGTAAGATCGGAGCAGGAATAACTATACCCATTTAACCCCCTCTAAGTATATTAAAAGGAATGGACGCCTTTTCCAAGGAAAGTGTTCAAGTTACCAATGGCTTATGATTAATTAAAATTTCAATTTTAAAACTCACAAAGGTCAAAATAATCGAGTAAAGACAGTTAACTTTCTTTTATTTTCTATTATAATTATTTGATAAATCCATACTTAAAATTTTAATACGCGTTTGTCATAGAGTTAACAAAAAAAATATGCAACTGTGTTACAATTTCTCCGTAAAAATTACAACTTTAAATTATTAATATGTAAATGTAAATGATAAGGCTTGCAATTAGGATTTAATTAAAGAAATAAAAGTTGATGGTACTTTTAGAATAATTATACATATGCAGTTAAAAATTAAACAATATATACAGATTTGCATCGAAAATTTTTTATAATAGTGTTTTTAATTACTGTCGGATATCATCTATACTCTTCCCAACTATACCGCGACCCAATGTGCTAGGTTTTTATAAAACAAATTTTTGAAAATGTTTGAAAAATAATTAAAAAGTATTTATCTATTAATATTTAATAATATTTTATTTAAAGTAAAAATTTGTTTTGATTATATGAAATACATACAATCCAGTTTACTATATAGTATATGATATTATTCGTGTACACGTGTTTAATTATTTGTTAATAGCCTGTGGTAATATTATTACAATTAACGCTTAACGTTTACCTCTCAATAAAATGTTGAATTTTCTTAAGTGAAGATCTACTTTCACAATTTTTATTCTATTCGAATATTTAATTTATGTAAAATGTTGACAATAACTATGTGAAAATGAATATATAGAACAGTGAAATATTAATAGGGTCAGTTAACCTTAGCAAATATACTTCGAAATCAAGTTTTTATTTTTTCTCATATTATTATAATATTAATTTTTTAATGATATTATTAATAAAACGATTGAAATATATTATACAATAATTCATTAATTTATAAAATGTTACCATATTCATAATTAACAACATAAATATCTCATGTATATCAGATCGTTATATTTATATGCACATAAATTATTTACGAGTATTTATTAGCTTCGATGTGAAGCTGAGAAGATATTAATTTTACAATGATTTTTTTTGTGTCCGTTACTACTTTTTTTCAGCTCACACCGATTACTTTCAACGATACTTAACATCAAAAATTGTATCTAGAGAAGATATTATCCTCAAAAATTGATAAAATTTCCCCGTTTCCGTACGGGGGGAAATCTCCAAAAAAAATTATAATTCTAACAATGAATTTTAACAATTATAATCAAATTTTATAATACGCTCAATTGAGTAGATTTTTTTTAACAACTTTTTTATTGGTTTTTTTAGTTAAGGTAAATCATTCAAATTAATTAAGTTCTGTATATTTCAATTGTAGAATCTTTTTAAACATCAAAAGTTAATTATAAATGATTACTATGATGTCTATTAAAGTGATCTATTACGATAAAAATGCAAAAAAAATATTGAGCATTTCTGGTAAATTTATTGTAAATAGTAATTATAAAATTCCAAATTCCATATTAATCTTAATAGTATCATTTTTTTGAATTCTCATAAAATTTTCTATTTAATGATGTCAATTTCAAACTTTCAAGTTGAGCTAAAAGTCATGATAACAACTTAAATTTTTATTATTTTAACTTTCAAAAAATCAACTTTAAAGGTCCAAAAAATATATTGTCAATACTTGGCCGCGATTCCACTGAGCTACTGTTTATTGTCACAGTGTATTTGTAATAAGTTTTGGTTAACTTTGAAGAGTCATCACATTATTAAAAATTATATCTGTTAGATTTAACGTAGTTTTTCTTTATTTGCATTATTATTGCGCTGCTTGCCTGCTATATTGTGAAAGCTATTTGAAAACAAAAACAATGATGAATTTTCGACAGTCAGTATCTTATTCAGTTATATTAGAAAACGGATAAGTGTATTATATAATGCGACCAGTTAAAAATTACAACCAATCCGATAACTTTAAATAGTGAGAAACGACATAAGCAGCCACCGAGGGGCCCATGGAAGGTATATGTCAACCAAATTCCGCTTTTTAGTGTCCAAACCTAACTGCAATAGTAATGAAAAAAGCACCATATGATTTAAAATGCACCATAGCGATAAGTTTTTACAATTTGAAGTGTTATCTCATTCTCATTCCGTATTATTAAGCTTTGCACGAGTTCATGTATTTAACCAATAAACTACCTTAGCGGAATATAAAAATTCCATTTTTTAAAGAAAACCCGCTTGTTTACAACTTAATATCAAATCTACACCATTATAAATCTTATTTTCGGGTGAACACTTTTTGGTAACACAAACATTTCAACGTATAAAAAAACATTGGTATTTGATTTATTTATTCGTATTATATACCCTACACATTTTAAATTTACTTGATTAGATTGTATTGTGTCTATCACTTATTGAAAGGCCATAATCTGGCTGAAAAGAGTACAATGATATTATCAAAGTTTTAATTAATCGACAAATTGTCAGTCTGATCTTCGCTAATTAGTGGAAAAGCTGAAAATAGTGCGGGTCATCTAAGTATAATACACTAGTATAATCAATTATTATTGTATAGAACTGAAATTGAATTGCCATCTATTATATGCGAGTATGGATAACTGAAAAAATGTAAGATATTTGAAAATAGTTTATTACACAGGGCAGTAATGTTATATGGAATTTATTATTGGTTTTACAAATTATTAATTTACAATTGTGTTAGTATAAAATACCAAAGTGAAGGTCAATGAGAATACCACATACATATATAAAATGGGTTTACATAAAATCTCAATAGAATATTAAATTCGATTTCAACCCTGGGTAGATTTAATGTAGAGCTGTACTGATGAAATAGTTACACGCAAATTGTAATAATAATAAAAATCGAGTAGTTTTAAGTGCGTACACTGAGGCAAATGCATACATATCCCTAATAGTGACATAAACTATATGATTCATCGCAACCGATATGTCTTATATGTCTTTTCAGGATAATTAGAGGTAAGTGAAAACATTTATTTATAGAAAGTATCTATAATAATACCTTCGCCAAAGGATTTGTAGTAATAAACTGACTGAGGTAGGTCGTCAGAAATGAACTGTCTAATATAATTGGATAAAAGACACAATATTGAAAAATCATATAAATTGACGAGTATATTTTTGTGCAGGAGCTAAATAGTAACTATTCGTTGCCCAATTAATCTGTGTTTACATATATTAGACGTGCTTCTGTGGGCATACATACCTCAAGATCCTTTCACATTTATTCCTTTATTGTCGGTGACCGTTTACCGACCACCCTCAAGACGACGTCAAACTAAATAATCTACCACTCTTACTTTTTGTTTATTACATAATGGATAGATTGTTGCTTCAATTTGTAAACGACCCTGAGAATCACAATAGTACGCCAATATTATGTTTCACATTATTGTAATTTTAAGATATTTCTTTAAATTTATAAGATTAAGGGATTTTGTTTCAAATTTTCGGCGTTGATAGCTTCAACTTAATTGAAATAGGTTCTTTGATAAATATACAAAAAAAATTGGTCCAGTCAGTACTGAGAATTTTCATAGACAGAAATAAAAAACCTCACATCATCACAATATACCTTTTCAGCTTCGCATCGACGCTAAAATTATATTGATAAAAAAATATTTAGAAAAATTGCGATAGAACATTTTTATTCTAAGATAACAATTTATTAGCTAATTAATTGTAAAAAAAATACATATTATTTATTAATTATTTGCAATAATTGTAAAAATAACTGTTAACATTTATAAAATAAAAAATTAATTATAATGACCATTATATTAGTTTTATTATACTAATAAAGAAAAAATTACACGATGAAAACAAAGTTCTACATATATAAAATTTTATTGTGAATTTAATGTCCGGAGCGACAGTTAATGGTCTGAAGTTGGAGTTATACTGACAGTTAGGCTTGTTTTCGTTGTCGTTTTTCTCTTTATCTTATCTTTATTGTTGTTATTGTTTTTATTTTGTTCGTTGTTGTTGTTGTTGTTGTTGTTGTTGTTCTCTTCATCTTATCTTTTTTTATTGTTGTTTTTATAATTTTCGTTATTGTTGTTGTTCTTAAACTTATATTTTATTTTATTTTTGTTACTTTCACCATTTTTGTTATTATTATTCATGAAAAACAGGTCAAAAATCGTTTATAATATCCAAGTTTTTATTTATCTGAATCTTGATCTAATTTATTTTTTAACTTCATTCTTACTCCATTATTATACCATTTTAGCTATTGCATTACAATAATGATTATCAGTATGTTAAATTTTTTAAATTTTTAAATATTTGATTTATTGTAATAAATAATTATTTCTTTCAATAAACTTGGTTTTAAACTTGATATTACCTAAGGTTTATAAAAATAATTAAAATTAAAATCTGTATATTTTAATTAAAATATTGTTTAAAAACAAAGGTGAAATATTCTTAATAAATCACTCTGTAGATAAAAAATGATACCATTTTTTATACAGTGTTCAGTAATTAAGATATCAGGTTTATTGTTACAAACAATGAGAACAATAGAAACCTGTTTCCTTACTAATTGAACACTCTTTATATTTTAAGTATTCACATCACTTAACACAGTTCATAAATTTATTATTTTATTTACTAGGTCTATGACGTGGAAATAATGCTCAACAGTATCAAACCAATAATTCTCATAGGCCAGCTTCAACACAATCCATCAACACAGGTAAATTAATCTAGAAGACTAATCCTTATATACATCACTAGTATAAATTTATTGTGAATTGTTTACACTAACAAAACTTCTAAAAATGTACTAATTATTACTTCATTATTATTTGTACTATTTTTTTAATTTATTAGTAGTAAACATAAAAGTAATTAACTATATTGTAAGAAAAAATTTTCTTTATATTGTCTACAATAAAATATAAGCTCTGTTCAAAAGTTACTTGTGTAGCTCGGCCACAGCTCCATGTTGCTTATCGTCACCCACTCCTTCTACGCATGACCTATGACACTTTTCAATTTTGTTCGGCACTATCCACCCCAATAATTGGGAAAAATAATTATTGTTCGTGCATGCGGTTTGAGTATTGTACCGTTGGGTTTGATGACCGTCGTGGTTTTCCGGTGTTTTTCTTTTTTTTTTTGCCGGTTGACTAGTTATGGCAGATAAATGATTGTGTTTTTCTTTTGTACGTAATAATAAGTGCATAATAAGTGGTATAGAACCATAGATGACACACTTGTTTTTTTATTAATTGGTGATGTTTTCTCGCTCATCGCAGTGAGCCGTGATATTGTGTACTTACATTAAACACTTCAAAAATATATGAGCAAAATGCATTAGTGTAATGATCCGTAAATATTAATATTCGTCTCAAAACTGAAATAAAGATAGCAGACCTACTGAATTCTAAGTCGCCATTGAGAAGCTTAGGTTCCGGTTATATTTCGTGATCGCTTGAATCTCAATACTTAAAGTTGGAAGCTTTATTCAGTGGTGACAGATTTTCGGTTATCTATTTATTATTTAAGTATTCTATTGTTTATTATTAGTCATACAGGTCACCCTTTTTAGTAGTATCCAGTTGACGAACAAACTTATTTGGCATAAAGGGAAACAAAGAAAAATGTTAAGAAAATTATTATTAAATGAATTAAACAGAAATTTATAAGCATTTTATTTAGATAAAAGACAAATTATTATTTTTTTTTTGTCTAGATAACTGTTTTCCAAACATCTTTGTCTCATCTAGATGAAATACATTTTAAATATTTACATCAAATCTAAATGACTTTTTGTTTATCTATTCCCAGCTATGGTAAGGACTATCATAGATAATGTCGAAATTAATCCTTCTTCGTAAGTTTAAAATACTTTAAATGTTTAACATTTTTAAGTGAAACATACGCCATATAAAAACTTTCTAAATGAACTAATATAGTAGTTTTATAACTTCCTATCAAAATTCCGATAAAAAATTTACAATAAAATAATGATGTGTTAAATATACAATGTATGTATTTAAACAAATTTATAACGCTATTACCTATAAAGTTATGGCATAAATATAGTACTATAATTTCCTAATTCTTGTTTATATTATTTTCGGTGCAATAAAATACTAGTGTAAAATTCTAACACAATCACGAAAAGTGTCCGAATAAAACAATAATGAAACAAAAACAAATAAATAAATGTAATACTAAAGATTATTAAATCCAAACGCGGATATATCTAATATCATGAACAGTTAGAGGGGACCTATTTGTTATATGAGATGTCCATATGGCACTCCTCTGTCCACTTCAGTACATCTTCACCCTCGGCAGTAAGATGTATTTTTAATCATATCCAACTCTACGATAAAATTAATAATCAATAAATAACTTAAGTAATTATAATGAATTTAATTAAAAAAACATATATATTTGGATTAATATTAATTATAACCTTAGGCACTTTTACAGGTAAGAATATGATATAGTAATTATTTTAAGACGTAATTAATTTTTTAACGATTTTTTATGTATACAAATATTTATAATGATCAAAATGTTTAAACATATTTAGCGTGTCTTATAATTAACTTAAACGTCAAGTTTTCTTGTCTTAATAATAAACATGAGCAAAAGGAAAATTTTATTTAAAAATTCCTTTTATAAATTTTTAAAATATTTTTATTTACAGTCTTATTCTTCTTTAGATTATATTTTAATTTTTATATTGTCACCAACTCTAATATTTTATTAACAATATTATAAGTTATATTATTTAATAAAGAGTTAAAGGGTTCAAATATTTTTACATATTTACATGATAAATAACTTTTTCGGTTATTCTATACAATTGTAATGACTATCACTAATATTCATAATTTATAATTAAAATTAAAAGTGTTGTTACAATAAAGTTACATGGATTTATTTACCATAATTATTTTTGATAAACATATCAACAATTATTTTATAAGCTAAAATAATGAGCAATGTTACTAATACGTAGGATTAAATTTCATTTGATTTTAACAATATTTATTTTTATGACAATTTCTTAAAGTATAAATGCAATAAATTGTCAACTAATTTTACACAATAATTGTTTAAGATTTTATTATTATTATATAAGAGTAATTCTTAGATGGACATGATATTGGATAGTCATCAATTGGCTCTAAATAGTAAAATTTTTATTTGATCTCTCCCTGATTTAATTCTTATACATCAAATTTACAAATAAAGAGTAGTCCACGACATTTTGACAAAGCTAATAATATTATTAGAGATAAATAATAAAAATTATGCTTTTAACGTAGTCCAAAACTATAAAAATTATTTTCAAAAATAAATAACACAAATTAATTATTGGATCGTAAGTTATTAAATTTTTCAAAACATCTTGAAAAACCCTGTATGATTACACATAAAAAATTTAGTTGTATTAATTTAATAAGTTAACAGAAAAACTAAAATGATAAAATAAAAATTAAAAAGAATTATGGTTATTTTTTATACTTTTTAGATCCAATTTATGGCTATCAAACGTGTAATTGAAAAAATTACAATATAAGTACTACCCTAATATTTATACATCTAAATGTATATATATTTATGTATCAATTTCGGAACATTTATACAATTTTTCTTATAAAATGTCTCACATGAAAATTTTATTCATAGTCAATATGTCAATATTTTAATTTCTCAGTTCTTATTATAACAAATATTTTGTTTAACAAAAAATAGTTACATAAACTATTTTAAATTTTAAGTTAGCAATGTCTTTTGAATTAAGTCGTCAGATGTATTACTTAAACAGATATGTTAAGTTCATTCATGCAACTAAAAAAATGACACATTTACATATTGTTCAGTTTACCCAATAAGCTTATAGAAAAGACATTACTTAAACTCTATCGGATGTGTCTTAGAAATGTAAACTAGATAATAAAATCGTAAGTTTATGATCGCGCAGGCGCTAAAACTGTACAAATTGACGACACAGATTACCATAATCTGACGGCCATGTCTAGCTTTTTATCTTATTTTCAATTTTTGTTTCCGATCTGTCGTACGTTTGGCGTAGGATTTTGGAATTTAATTTTTTTTGTAATCCTGAACTGTGAAGTCTCTATGTGTAGGACTTCTGTGATTTCTTTTTAGTCAATAATTTACACGCAAACATTTTTATTCGTCAATTAAATATTCACAGAAAAAATTTCCATTTTCTATATTGTTTCATTTGCTATATGAATGAGAGATTTATTTATATTTAACGATGAATACCAGGTGTTATTTTAACCGCCTTAAAACTCGATGGGCGTTGAGTCTTCAGTGGCTGTAGTGGCACTTGACAAGAGCATCGGTGACAAATAAGCATTTAATGACTAAGTAAATGGATGGTGCTTATTTTTTTGTTGCGTGCAAAACTAATGTTAGCGCCTTTTTTCAAACGGAATATGATAATAAAATCATAAATGTCTAATATGTGTGATTAGTCTTTGTATTGTACTGAAATAAAGCTAACACATGAATAAGGAATATAAAATAATAATTTTTGTAATGGATTTTACTTCCGTTTTACGTTATGTATTTTTTCAGCTTCAATTAGCATTAACGACACTACATATTTTCAAACAAGACAACTTAGCGGGCAACAATATGGACTCGAGTATAACTTACAAAATTATACACGTATGAGACATTCTGGTAGTCGTTCAAAACCATTATTTGAGTAAGCAATTTAAATTAGTATAATATCTTTTATGTTACTAAATAAATAAATATTAATTGTAAATGTAAAAATTGAAACGATTAAAAGTTATACTTCGATAATAATATACAATAGAGCTAATGGTTTAATATATTTAAAATATATTCCTCTTTATTGTAGTTGATAACTAATTCATTATAATAAGGACTGTGATAATATGCAATTGTAAATTTTATTTGAGCCACTTTGAAGGGTCCCAAATTTGTGTAACTTTATCGTAGAATCATATAGTAACACAGAAAAAATTGTCGTTTTAAGGGGGCGGTTAATACCATTTGATACCACTTAAAACTATATCATTGACCAATACAGATTATTAAATTTTCAGGCCAATTAATAAAAGTTTGTACGGGCTGATTATGTGTTAATATTAATTTAACAAGGTGTATAAATGCATATAATACAAAGCCCTGGTAATAAATTATTCTTGACCGATTAAGTTTCTTTTTGATTGCACCATTATTACTTATATCAATACTGAATTAATTATCTTGATGTGACTATTAATTTTTTATACATATAGCTGGACGATTCCTACTGTAGAAACTACTACTAGCCGTGAAGAAAAAAAAACCGCTCAAGTCATTATTTCAAAATTAGATGAGGATGAACGAGTAAAAAATAACGTGTGGTGGCCATGGAAAAATTATAATGATTGGCTAAATAGTAAAGGGTTAAAAGTAGAGCCGAAGAAGAAGGAACACAAAAAGAGAAAAAATAAGAAGCGAAAAAAAAACAAAAAGAATGGAAGTAAAAAAATAAATTACAATGCAGAAAAAAATCAAATGAAATCACTTGAAAATAAAAATATACCAATAATTAATAGAGAAGATAATGAAATCTTAAAAAAAGGTTCAATTCCTGATATACGATACAAATCATCTCTCATCGATGTGGTTTTTAAAAATGCTTCATTGGTCCCATCACTAGTAAAGTATAGTTCAAGAAATTTTACTTATGGTAAGATTTAAAATTATACTCAATATACGTTAATATACAACAAATAACGATAACTAATTTAATTAAAAAATTATTTTTATAGTACAAGATTTAACCCACAAAAAAACTTCAGCGCGTAAATTGTCACGAGTATTTAAAATAGTTAAAATATATTATTAAAAAAAAGAGAGAATGATATCACATTCACAAAATAATTTTTTATTGAAATTAAACCATTCTTTGTAAAATAAATCATAATGAAATTTTATGGAAAACCCGACATTTTTGTGTCTACAATGTTTAGTTGAAATCTACTAGTATTTGTAATTTGGATGGTGACTCCGAATTAGGCTTATGACACTTGGCCACTCAGTTGTTCAACTAACTGTAAAGAAAAAGTTACAAATAATTATTCATATTTGTTGTCCCACGTTATTATTACAATTATTACTTATTGTCAATAATTTATTTATATAACAGATGTAAATGAATGTTTGAAGAACAACGGAGGTTGTGAAGGTTTGTGTATAAATACTCCAGGTTCATATCGCTGTCATTGTCCATCGGGCTTTCTAGTTGCTGATACACAGTGTTTGGGTAATTAAATATTATTGTTATTTGTTTAATTTATCATGTATCTCAATGTTTAGAAAATAGTTAATCATAAATTTGTTGGAAAAAACTTATTAGAGGAAATATTTTTTTCAAAACCAATAGATGTTGACGAGTGCGTACTACGCAACGGCCACGGACCATGTCAAGGTACATGTATTAATACATGGGGGGGGTATAAATGTTCATGTGACGATATTCCGGGTACCAAATTAGCCGAAGACAAACATTCTTGTGACGACGTAGACGAATGTCGGGAAGGTACCTCTGGTTGTTCTCACGACTGCATTAACACGGTCGGTTCAGCCTTTTGTGTATGTCCAGATGGTCTGGAGCTGGATTTAGACTGGAAAACTTGCAAAGATATCAATGAATGTTCCGATCCAGAACTTGAACAAGAAAAGTGTAATGGAAAATGTGTCAATACTTTCGGTTCATACAAATGCTTGTGATATTAGAAATTACTTTTTTTTTTTTTTGTATAATCGTTAACAATTTTCCTTTAAATTAACCACTAGTCACATTTGACCTTTAATGTATAATTTAGTGATTAATTAACTTATAAGTGTTGAATAAATTTAATCATTAACTAATAATATATACAAGAAGAATTATTATTAGTTTGGAAATGTATAAAACATTTTTACTTTCGATAATTAAATAAAAAATTTTTAATTACATATAACTATAGTTATTCAAATTTAATATATTTTAATAATCACAGTTTTAGTTTAAAAAAATTAGATTTGACTTAACAGAATTATTTTTATTTAATATGTTATTCCAAAGAACTAAATAATTTTTAAAATGAATACAATATACTAAGAAATTAAAACAGTTAATAAAAAATAATTTTATATTTAAAAAAAGTATTTTATAAACATGAAAATACGTCAAAATATCGAGAATAAATACAATTTAATCGTTTTTAACATCTATTAAAACTTCACTTGCTGGTGCAATATTGAATACAGTTTGATCTAAAAAATATATGATATGAAATACGTTTCTAAAATATTAAGCTTTGATATTATTAAAATCATGAAAATTATTAATAACTCTTTTTTTTATAAAAAAAAATTATATTTTAATTTTACTTATAAATAATAAAATTTCACATAAATCGATTTTACATCAAAATTGTATCTAAACCACGTAGATTATAGTATCTCGGTGAATAATAGCCCTCTCCGAAAATCTATGATTTATAATAATCAAAACAGAAATGTGAAATCTTTAAATATTCATAACGTACAGCCAATCAAAATTTGTGTTTGGTTAATAATATTTATACTTTGTTTTGAAGCAATAATAAATTATTGTATTATTTTTTAAATATTTTATTCGTCTTATCATCATTAGTGAAGATATATTGTGTTTGCTCATCATAGCAAGTATATTGGTAAGTGATGAGTAGATATGCACAAAAAGTTGAAAAAACGTCCTAAAAAAATATTATAGTGGAAATTGAAATACGAATTTGATACCCAACCTACGTGATTATCTTTTCAAGTATAAATATGGAACATATAAAATGTTATTTAAACATATTCAACATTTTTCTTACAGCTAAATTACAATTATTATACAATAGTCGTCCATACTTTTAATATCTAGTATAAAATTACATGATGCTGTGTTACCAGAATCGTCTAAAGCTGTGTATGAAACATTATACGACCCGGGATGAAGTAACTCTCCCGATTCCTGTACAAATACATACAAACAAATAAGTTTTAAACAAAAAAATATCGAAATTGGATCAATTTTCAATCTTTGGCGTAACTATGGCTATTAGGTAAAGTAATAATTTGGGCCTATGATATTTTGGGCCCCTTTAGAGGTATTTTTGACTTTTTCAAAGTTTCATTTTTAGAAATAATATCATGATTTGTAAAATAATACATATGACATTATTATTTCAGTATAAAGTTAGTCATGTGGATGAAAAGGCATCTCTATATATTTAATTTTAGAGACCTAAAAATCTAGTTGTGCCAATAAATTCTAGTTAAATTAATTAAACATATTACTTTCAAGTTAACTAACCATAGATTTAGTTATTCGACTGACCCCTACATTATCAAGAAATGTAGGTTCTTGCCATACAATTGGTAAAACATCATTTTTTATGAAAAGTTCAGATATTTCTAAATACAAAGGGCAATCATACACTTGAGGAGGCTCTTTATCTATAGATAAAATAATGTTTAATTTATTTGCACAATTTGAATATTTGTTAAATTATTATTAAATTTTAAACGAACATTTTAATTAAAAAGTTTAAATAAAATACCTATAACACGAATAGATGTCCGACACGATACTATATCAATGTCTTCATTTTGAATTGAGTAGGTAATTACATATAATCCTGGCACTAATGATTTTGGACTTACTTTGCTCCAACCGAAACTTAAAGAACCAAAACTGTAAAAATATATATACTGTTTAAGAATAAAATTACTCATTATATAAGTGTCAACATGGTATAAAACCTCTGCCAGTTGTAGTTAGTTTCTGGAGGTTCTACTATGAAATCGATGGATTTTTTCCCCTCGGGTATAGTTAAGTTCTTCTCTGGAGGGCACTTAATATAAGCATCCACTTGATGATTCTACAAACAAAAAATCTTTAGTAATTCATCACCTTATGAAAATATATAATACGTTAAAATATACTGTCGTGATGTTTGTTTTGCACGCTGGTTTTAAACCAATCCAACGTCTTCTTCTACAAAAGAGTTTATTTTGAAAGTTATTTTCCAAAACGTAACCATCAATGCAACTATATATTGCTTCGATGTACTTGTTATACGGTTGCAGATTATTTCTTTTCCTATATTTAATACAATTTTTAATAGTAACTAATGATAAAATTATTGTTTGAAAAAAACTATATTTGTAATATAAGAACTCTCAGCAGCGCCCTCGTAATTTATTAAGTATTTTAACTGCAATGACTACCCAAGAAAAAAAGTGGGCAATAGGTTATTGAATTTTGGTGGAAAGGGGTAATTTATAAATTCATAACTATAATCATGTCTAGTAACAAGACATTAAAAAAAAATTATCTCAATTAATATTGTTGAGTTAGGTTTGAAAAATAACAACAATAAATTCACTAGCTTGGTGTCAATCAGAGGACGCCGCGAGAAATATTATACGTATTTAATTTATTTACATTATATAGTTTTTCACACGGGCATTGGAAAATGAAGGAGCTTTTATAAATTTCTTTCTGAATCGTTTTGGAAACAAGCAGCTCATATCATAGTCCTCCAAAGAATAATCTTCATTGGAATTTCTAATCATATCCTTTTGAAATGTCATTGTATGAGCTAAAATAACCAAAAAATAATATAATTCATTTTTATGTAATGGATTTAATGAAATTTTGAATTACGAATTTTTAATTTCCTCCGGGGTTCAACTTAAATAACTATCACAATTCAGGCGCAGATCCAGAGGGGATGATGAGATAATCGTCATACCCCATAATCCGCTCGTAAGGTGTTAATTATTTTGTTAATTGTATGAAAAATTTTTATATTTTTATTTTACATTGAACACGCCCTCCTCTTTAAATACATGCTGGATCCACGTCTGCCACAACTATTTTGTCATTTTGACAAACACAGACACAATCTTATTATGATATTAAGAAGTTTAAAAAATATTTATATAAAATTTAAATTTAACATTAGACAATTATACATGAATAGCAAAACCAATACAATATTTTTTCAATTCCATTAAATAAATAATAAAGTTCTGTAAAATATACTGATTTAATATTTTCATGTTCTATTGTAATAGTAAACCGTCGTCCCTTAATAAATGAAATGCATCAGCATACCTGTACTCTTAAAAGCCTTGACATCGACATATTTTTTTTTTAACGTATTTTTTATATTTTTCACGTTTATTTTTGAATGCTTCGTTTTATTAAAATTTAAAATGTGCCTAAAGAACCATAATGTTATTTTAAACTATTCAACGATTTTTTAAATTATTTTTTAACTTACAACTAAGGTATAACCTACCTGAAAGAAAACCAATTATGCGCCGAGCTAAAATTTTTATCTAGACCTACAGTGCACAAAATATGTGTATTATGATAATATGTAAACCAGTAGAAATGAAAAAATATTTAAGAATTTTTTAATAAATATTCGTTTTTAATTAATATTTTTAGTATGTTATTCGTTTAAAAGTCTACTTACTACCGTTACCGTTTGGAATACACAATGGCACAAGTCCAGACCACTTTCCATCCATACAAGTTTGTTTATTATAACCAATCAACACGTATCCATCATGACATCTATACACCTCTACAGCTTTATTCCAATTTTTGGATATTTTGAATACTGATTCTCCATTAATGGGTTGATGTCGAGACTCGCATTCCATCATTTTTGAATCAACACAAAATGCTACAAAGTATTTACAAAATAAATATCGTTTACTTGACAAAACAAATTGATTGTTAGTTTTAAACGAAATTAATTCGATGCGATTAGATTCAAATGTTTTTGGTAACATTAGAAAAATATCAGAGAAATTTTACCTATCTCCTTTTGACCAAAAACTCGAAAAATGTTAATATAATAATACAACTATAAAACAAAAATTAGTTAATTTTTAAAAATAAACGTAAAAACACATAAAATAATTCTTTGTTATCAGTTTAAAATGACACAAAATTTTTCAAATTTTTTAACTTCTTAAAAAAAAAATTGTATTTTTTTTAATACATCAAATTTAAACAACTACTTGGCCGACCCCAAGTACTTTGGATTAGGGCAAGGAATAAGAAGACGATCGAATTTAACAATGAAATGCATAATTTAAATTCTACACGTTATCGATTATTTCATAATATAAAACTAATAAATTAAGAATTATTAACTATAGATTAAAAATTATTTTTTGTACTTTAAAATATGTAATGATCATAACCGAACTTAGTATTTAGCAAATATTAAACCTAATCAATACAAAGTAGTCATAATGATACAATCATTAGCGTGTCAAAGAGAAGTTGAAACCAATACATTTTTTAGACATTCACGTTATTGATTGTATATTTCACCTTTTCCGTACCAACATATACACAACAGGTATGTAGTAAATATGTGTTGTCGTACGTCAACATACTACACATGCTACTGAGTGTAACACATATCTATAAAAAATTGCCCATATCATACTACAGCTAGTAATAATGAGAAAATAATTTTTTTGACGCTCTATGAAAATTTGTTAAAAAGTACACTGTCTGCAATTTATTATAACGAAATTAATTACGTGATTAAAATATATTATGGAGGGAGTTGTAAAAATTGTGTTATATAGATAATTTCCCTGAATAAAAAAAATACCTAGACACATCATTGAATTACACACAAAACCAGTTTAATAATTAGCCACAACTCGTCTCCCCGAACATCCAAATAGCTTTAATGTTGTCCCACAAAACACAAATCATTGCGACTCCGTTGAATCTATATGCGTTTATACCAAAGTACGTTTTGTATACTGAGACTAGGTGTCAGTACTATGATGTCATCTGCCGCCATGTAGTCGCTCGTCGTACCGGCTCTTACTGAACCGACTAGTAGTAATCACACACGCGACACAATATTTTACAAATAAAATGGGCGCAAAAATTCACTGGACACCTTATCGAGACACCTAAGTATATGACCACGTACTTTAGTTCTTATGAATTCCTGGTACTGAATTTTGATGTATCTTATCAAATACGATATAAACTAATTACCATTTGAAGAGGATCGTATACATTTTTATCATGTTTACTCCTCCCCCTCACACCCACATAAATCTCACCACTTTTTAAAATTTATTTTTAAATACCACAAATTTATTTGGCTGAATATTTCGACGGCTGTAAGCAGTGCTAATCTATTTATTGGAAGTTCCGGTTCTGGTCGTAAATGTGTATTATTGCATTCTATTATCATTAATTTACAGTTAATTCAAAAATTTAAATATCATTGCAAGCGTGTGCATGTATCAAAGGCTATTTTATAGATGTATAAACTTGTGCCCATACAATGTCAATGAAAAATATTTTTAAAAGGATTCTTATAAAAATTAGTAGTGTGAGAAAATATTAACTTGTAAGAAGTGGCATTACAAAATGTAATAATCAATTAATTCGGGTTTCTTTTAAGTATTAGTCTTTTAATCGATGATGTAGGCGTTAGCGGGGGCGGCCAATATGATCACGTCTTTATTTTTGCATTTATATGTACATGCATTACATAGGATATTATTTTTATCTGTGAGAACATTCTTTACTTGATCTATTACATTAGTATTCATTTATGTAATGTAATGTAAAATATTTTTTCGATAGATTTATAGATTTCATTTTATCTATAATGTTTTAGATAAAAATTTGATCGACAAACTCAACATATACTTTACGACTTTATTAAACAATTAATAAGTACGTTAAAATCTAGGATTCGTCAACGATATCGATTATTTTTGAAATATTGCGATAATCGAAAAAATATTTTTATAAAAAAATTGTTTGAATTTTGGTTATTTTGTTGTAAAATATTTATTATTTCATATGAACCTAAGAACAACTCATGATAATTTTGTTGAAATTTTTTGTGTTAAAATATATTAAGAAATATAGAATTAAGATTAGACAAAAAATGACATTTATTGATACAAAATTCTTTCGTAGATTAGGTTTTTTATTATTGTAACATTGTTATTACTCCTATTTTTAACAAAATACGAACAGAGTAAGGAATGAGGAAATTAAGAGATAGAATATATATGGAAGATATATAGCAATAACTGGTCGATATTTAATCTGAAAAATAAGATAAAATAATTGAGTTAAAAAAAAAATAAAATTCCTATTAGATGATCATGATGAAGAATATGATGTTTTGACGATTATTTTATTTTATAAAAGTTTAAATTTTATTTTTGAAAAGAAGAAAAATTGTTTTCAGTTACGACAAAGCAATAAAAAAATATAAACAGAATTTATAATCTTTTATTATTATTATTACTATTTAAAACTAAGATACTGTAACTATAATATTATTATTCAATAAAGAACAATTTCATCCATTTAATATAACCAATTTATAATGATAAAGTCTTGTAACAAACAAAAAACTTATTTCTTCATAGTAAAAATTGATTTCAAAATATTTGATTATCGTTATGAGATATAGTTATTAACTATATTATTTGGATATTAATATCATATCAGATAATAATATATGATTTGATTGGTATACCATAGTTTGATTTTTACAACAATGGTAACTTAACAATATTCTTGAAAATAAAATAATTGGTGAAAACAATTAAATATTAAATTTAATTTTTGAATATAATATTTTTTTTCGATATAATATCGGTGAAAATTAGTACCATATCAATTTCCAAAGTTGTATCGTCGATGTGCCTATTAAAATCTCTCTCGTGATAACTGTTTAAGAAACAATTATGATTAAGTAATTAAAATATAAAGTAAATTTACGTAATGTATAACATACATTTTTTGAACGAAAAAAATTGAAATTATTTGTTTTAATATTAATTTAAATAATTGAAATGTCTTTTTTTTTTCTAAAAAAATGAATATTATTTTGAATAAACTATTTTATTTTTCTAATTTCCTTTCTCTAATTACTAGTCAAGAAAAAATGTATTTTAAATATAAAATTAGTGTATAGATATTTTAAAAATTTAGTAATACTTTTCTATATTTTATTTAGCAATTTAAACTTCAATCGACAAGCAAAAATAAAATACTGTGTAAAGAAACCGGTTGTCAAACCCTTTCTCTAAAACACCCTATCTCCTTACAAATACTTATTTACAAAAGTAAAGCATATTAAAAATATTTTTTAATTTAAATTTCAGGAAAAACATATTAAAATTATATTCTTAACATTATTAATAAAGTTAAATAATAATAATTTGTTATTAATAAATAACTAATTAATAGAATAACTAATATTTGAATAATTTTTTAGGTATTTAAAATTTACATATGAAACAAAGAAAAACTTATCATTCTTTGATTTATTTTAGCTCGATTCAAAAGTTATTTTAAACCTTTAAAATAATATTACTCGTACATAAATAGATGTATGAGCATCATTATAATTTTTAAGTGTCCAGTATAATGTAAAAGTACTAAAGTAATTCTTTGAATTTAAGATATAACGAAAATAAAATGAAATTTACCTGACATTTGTAAAATGTAAAATATATTAAAAACTTTGAAAAAAATCATACTACTGTTTTAGTGAAATAAAAACCATACAAGTACAGCAGAGCATGTGAAAAATATTACATACATGTGTGCGTTGCCGCTAGTCAACCACAAAGAGCTTGTCTGTAGGATACTAAATGCTATATGCAATCGACCATCCCTCCTTAAATACAAAAATGATTCTCCAGACATACACAATATTTATTAAATTCGAGATTTAACAATTATCAGACAATTAGATGAGAAACAATCATTAACAACGTGACTTTGTAAACAAACTAAAATAATTATAATGAAAAAAAAATAATTACAAACTCAATAACAATTAATAGTAGTCAAACAAAACTTAAAAATATTATAAGTTATAACACAGAACATATAAAACTGTTTAAACAATAACTAAACTAAATTCATGGTAAAGGCCACGGCAAACCAGAAAAATCTACTGGACCACCGAGTCCAGCATCCGCTTCTAGAAGACTCATTATAACGGCCATCACAGCTTCATCGTTAGTATCATTGCTAGGTAACTGTTGCGGAGATGGAGACATTATATCTCCAAGCATGTCCTCAGAATCACCAGGAATCACAAGTCCAGGCTGTGAATACATCATAGGTGAAGTTTGGTTCAAATTGGTAACCACGGTATTAGATGAACTAGAAAGATTTAAACTTTCTCGGACCGCATTATAAGAACTACTGCTTGAGGGTCCAGGATTATTCAATACAGGTAAAGTTGATCTTAAATATGGCAAGCTGCTATTATTATTAGATACCTATGTAACAATAATAACATTTTAATTAAGGGTAAATCCATATCAAATCATCCAAAGTCGTTGCGCGACCACTATATTTATTTTTTAAATTAATTTTAAAACAAAATATTTTAATATGATTTTTTCACACAATATAGTACTATGTATGTAGTTTCTATGAAAAAAATTTCAAGTTTGATATTTGACCGCAACTTACGAAAAATTAACTTTCAAAATTACGTTTTTTTTTTTTTAAGTTTATGAAAAATCTTGGTTTTTTGAATACTGAAAACTTTCTGTATTTCCATTACTTAGTTTTTGTGCCTGTGTAGGTATATATATAAATTCCTCAATATACTGAGTACATGAAAAATGTATTAATGATCGATTAAAAAAATATATATAGCAATACCAAAAACGACTACTACTGTGTAATTTAAATGAACTATACGTAAAATTTAAGATAGTTAATCGAAATTTGAAAATCGGTAGATCAAAATTTTGTTCTTTAAAACCTAAGTAGTGTATATTAGCTGGGTCTTCGGGCACACATACCGTGTGCATTTGTGTTCATCATCAAAATGTGAAACTTATGACAGAAGGAGCTTCATTAAAATATGAATACAAAAATTACTTAAGTTATTTAAGTAATGTAATATTGATAACTATAATTGCATGATGGGAGAGTGTGATATTTGTTTAAATAGAAGTGACTGTTTAAAAAAAAATGTCTCATATGAGTTAGACGATGGTCCAGAAAACATCATTTTAAGACAATGGGTTAGCACTGATAGAGCTAATTTAGTTACTAATTTATTACCTGTAGATGAATTTGTAGAATTATTAAAATATATGTTATTTTCTTTAAAAATACACCACTATAAATCTAAAATGCAGTCAAGTTATTTCAAAAAGCTAAAAGAAAATCTACCAACTACAGAATGTTTAGACGTTGCAGACTTTTCAGAAAATAAATAAAAAAATAAATAAATTATAGATGTATTTACATTTATAATTAATAAAAATAAAAATACAATAATATATGAAAAGAATGAGAAAAAATATATTAAACAGTTGTGATTATCACTTAGAACTTTTAATGTTTTGAAATATGGTTGAATTTGATATTTTAAAATATCTAATCAAATTTTTTTGTAGTGGTACTATACGGTGTATTTGTCTTGTGCCAGGTATTGTTTTCGCTTGTACAAATCTAGTTTCTAATAGTTTTTTATTTTCTTGTACTTCACTTCAAGGAACAAAAAAAAAATTTATTCCTTTTATGTTTTCTTCAGAATAATCATACATAGATTTTGGAGTTAAAATATGATTTTTATTGGCACATTGAAAACTATATTTCGTGTCTAGCCTTTTTGTGGTACCACCTACACCATCACTAGCATTTTTTCCGTGGCACGAAGCAAAAAAATTCCATTCAGCTCCAATATCAAAATCTTCATTGTGATAAGAAATATTAATAAAAAATTTTTTATTTTTGTATTGGCTAGCCGCACCATCGTTAAAGTAAACAATTTTTTTTATAAAAGGGCATGTGCTGATTAAATCTTTAATGAAATATTTTTGAAACGAGTAAAATGCTTCTGTAATATGTTCTGAGTGATCACTTATATCGTCTGCAACGTCTAAACATTCTGTAGTTGGTAGATTTTCTTTTAGCTTTTTGAAATAACTTGACTGCATTTTAGATATATAGTGGTGTATTTTTAAAGAAAATAACATATATTTTAATAATTCTACAAATTCATCTACAGGTAATAAATTAGTAACTAAATTAGCTCTATCAGTGCTAACCCATTGTCTTAAAATGATGTTTTCTGGACCATCGTCTAACTCATATGAGACATTTTTTTTTAAACAGTCACTTCTATTTAAACAAATATCACACTCTCCCATCATGCAATTATAGTTATCAATATTACATTACTTAAATAACTTAAGTAATTTTTGTATTCATATTTTAATGAAGCTCCTTCTGTCATAAGTTTCACATTTTGATGATGAACACAAATGCACACGGTATGTGTGCCCGAAGACCCAGCTAATATACACTACTTAGGTTTTAAAGAACAAAATTTTGATCTACCGATTTTCAAATTTCGATTAACTATCTTAAATTTTACGTATAGTTCATTTAAATTACACAGTAGTAGTCGTTTTTGGTATTGCTATATATATTTTTTTAATCGATCATTAATACATTTTTCATGTACTCAGTATATTGAGGAATTTATATATATACCTACACAGGCACAAAAACTAAGTAATGGAAATACAGAAAGTTTTCAGTATTCAAAAAACCAAGATTTTTCATAAACTTAAAAAAAAAAAAACGTAATTTTGAAAGTTAATTTTTCGTAAGTTGCGGTCAAATATCAAACTTGAAATTTTTTTCATAGAAACTACATACATAGTACTATATTGTGTGAAAAAATCATATTAAAATATTTTGTTCCACCAGAGAAAAATTAAAATAAAAAAGCTTAAAAATTAATTTTTTAGAAATTCGAGCATTTTTAAATATATCCCAATAAAAAACGGTTAGAGTAAAATGTTTCAAAACACAATTAAATATTACTGTGAGTGTACACTAATATTTAGGAAAAAAAATTAATTAAAAAAAAATGTTTTTTCATAGTCAATTTGATCTTTGAAAATTACATTATTTTGTAAAAAAAGCTCAATTTAGAAAACAAAATTTTTCAACTGACAAGTTAAAAAACGTGTTGGTAATTATGGGATATGTTAGAGTATCGCATAAAAACGATGAAAGTTTCAAGTCTTAAATATAAATATTGTTATCATAAGGATATTTTTACGAATTACAAGTATTTCATAATTTAAAATTTTTGATAAGTCATAAATAAATTTTCGTAAAACTTTTTTAATTTTTGATTTTTTTTTTCTTATATGCTAGAAAACTTGTGTGTAAAATTTCAAAAAAAAATTAAGTGTTCGCGCAACGACTTTGGATGATTTGATATGGATTTACCCTTAAGTTATTGACCGAGTATATAAAATACTTAAATTATTAACCAACTAAACAATACCAAAACTGTTAAATTCAGACTTTTACGCAACTAAATATTTCATAGTTAAAAATAATGTTCAAATCATCAATTAATTTACATTTCAATTAAAATTACCTCTGTTATAAAACCACTTCGATTATGAGACGAAAAATCTTTTGTACTACTATTTTTCTTTTTATCATCTAAAACTGTGTCAGCTATGTGTCTACCAATTTTACTAGCTTCCAAATGAGACGTAATTAAGTTTTGCATCTCTCTATTACCAACTGAACTTTGATTTCGTGATGACTGTTGTTCTATAAAAGAATCATAACTATTCTGAGGTTGACCTTGTGAAGAACATTCAGATTTATTACTACTATCTTGTTTTGACTCTAACCTAAACAATAATATCCCATAACGTTCATTGTTAACATTCATCAATTAAGTTTTTACCTTGTCAATATATTATTTGCGACAATAAACTCGATGTCTTTCGTCCAAGGGTTTCTAAAACTTTTCCATTCACTCCGTAGATATACATATGTTTTATCTTTAGCCCGAAATTTATAGATCTAAAATATGTAATATCATTTAATTTTATTATAATAATAATATAACACAATACAACACTAAAAATGTATACCTCTGTATCTTTTGGTTTGCCATCTTGTAATGTAGCTTTATGTATGTCTACAAGTCTAGCGATATCATCTTGGTGAAAATATTCATACATACTAGTACCTAATAATTCCTGAGGTAAAAATCCTACTATATATGTCACTCTAAAATCAATAATATATAAGCATTTAACGATAAAATAAAGAACAAATCAAATATAAAAAATACCTTTGATCGACGGATAAAAATTTCCCATCTATTGTATGTTTAGAAGTAAAACAAGGAGGTCTAACGATATCTGATAGCAATGATGTAGATACGGAATTATTGATAATCCTCCCAACTGCGACTAAACATGAGATGTTATTCCCAGATTCCGAATCTCCGCCTATTCCACTACCTTCTGTATCATCTTGCTCCATACTTTTTCCTGACATATCATCATGCTCATCAATTTGCGTCCAAGGTTTTAAGTAACCCGTACATTGAATTACACTATACCTCCTATCTGTAAAAAAATTATTTAAAAATATTTAAATTGATTAACTCAAAATGTATATAACATTTAACATTTCCAAAACTATTGAAAAATTATTTATTGGGAGTCATCCTTGAAAATAGTTTTCTCCTTTAATCATCACTACCACACACATATCAATATGATTACCTTTTAACTTTGTACAAAAATAATTAAAAACAGCAAAACAAATTTTAAACATCATGCATAATAAAACATCATAATAGTAAAAAATATGTTACCTTTTTTTACATGTATTTTACCTCTGAATTTGTGCGAAGACCCATTCATATCTGAGCTTTTTACACTTGATTTACTTTCGACGGATGAAGAATCTGTCGAAAGAGAAATGAAAATATTTGTCTAAAAAAATTTATTTTATGAAAAATTATTCGAATATTCTTAACCAGAGAATATTAGAATAATATTAAATTGAAAATAATTTCTTCAATCGTGTGGTAAATATCTTAAAGATGGCTCCAAAAAATTGCTTAAAGAACTAAGTGAAATTATATTTTAATTGTGAAAACAAATTTTATACCCGATTGAGAATATTTAGATCCAGTCGTTGTTTCATCTTCTTCTTTTACATTATGTATTTTATACTTCATTCGACAAAAAAATGATCTTCTTGCACCACTACACATTTTTGAAAACGTATTCATCATTTCAGCTCGCACGGGTAGCATCGCTACGAAAAATAACATTATTTATCCAACTTAAAGTAAACCTTAATTAAAAAATTGAAAAAATATTCACTTTTTGCATCTATAAATCTTTCTCTCGGACAAAAATCCGAACATGACAACTGTTCTTTTACTTTTGCCACATCTTTTGGATGAATATAATCAAATACATTGTTCCCTACTAAATCTTCCTGTTTTGTAAAAATTAAAAATGTGTTATTTTCATTAAAGTATAAGTAGTAAATTACAAATATATTTTTGGTAATAAACATAATATATAACACTTACAGGTGAATAATTAAGAACTTGAGTGACTGATTTTGATATATAAAGAATTTTGCCATGATCACAACTTACAGCAAATACAAAACCTTCAGCTGCCTAAAAATATGTACATTAATTAAAATTTTTCAAAGTTTTATAAAAAATGATAGAAATTAACATACTGACTTGTGTGATTAAATTCTTCAAGTCTTGATCTGATAGAAATGGTGGTTTATAATGTCCTTCTGTGTATGAATTTACAGTTCCTCTTATAGTTTTCATATGTTGTACAGCCATTCTAAGTACAGTTAATTTGTCTAATTTTCGTGACATCGCATGGCACATAGGTATCATACTGGCTAATTCGGTTATATAGAAATTCATTTTATCTCTTCTACGTTTTTCTATTTCACTATGATTGTGCCTATAGTAACAATTATATATTTTTTAATGTTTCAATGAAAACAATATTTAATATTACTTTTTGTTATCATCTATTCGAGTAGATCTTGAATCTTCATTGTTGTCATCTTCAAAATCGCTACCACTAACAATTAATAGCGAGTAAAACTTAAATAATGTAAAAAATCTAATACAACTTATAAATTATTAACTTATTTTATCAAATGAAATTGTATATTAATGTGAAATAAAATATATTAAAGGCTAAAAGAAGTTATTTTGGAATTATCAAAAATAATATTGTACCCAATATTTAGTTAACAGCTATAAAAATATAATAAGTAATTAAATTTTTTGTTTATTTCATTTTAAGCTAATTAAAAGTAAACAGTAGTATACAAGTTTTTCGAAAATTTTTTTTATTATTTTCGAATTAATCTTACTAAAAGTAAAAGTAGTTGATTCTTATAATTTTGATTATATTTTTAATAAAAATATATGATTTTCATTTTAATAAATTTTTAAAACGCCTATTGTGAATAATTTAAGTAAATAGTCCCGGAGTCATATTATTAAATAGATATTAAAAAAACTAAAATATTTGTGTTTTTATCACATTTTCATGGCTTTAAGTTGAAAACAGTTGAATGTTGAATGAAAGAAACAAATAAAATAAAATTTTTGTTCATGAAAAAAATTAATTGAAATATAGTTTTTTACTCCTAACTTATAAATTATACTTACTGAGCAGATCCTTTCCTCTTATTCGTGATGTTCTCATCGCTAATAATTTCCATATTTTTTTCTGAAGTTTTTGACATACAAATTGTATTTGAAATGTTACACATTGACTGTGAGCTACAAGAACTCCTATTTTTTTAATCAATTAATTTTTTTATTTCAATGTAATTACTCACTCTTTAATAGTTTCAGATACGGGTTGTAAGTCATAATAAACAAGCGGTTCTAAAGGACTATCACGACTCGTGTGATTAAAGTGCATTAAATCACTAGTATCGTTCAGTAAAGTACTGCAATATGATGCAAAATCCGAATTTTTAGACATTTGAAATTATCGAAAATCAGCGAATAAGCAATACACAACTGATACTTGTTAAAATCAAACCCGATACGTACAGAAAACGTCTTTCACAAAAGCCCTGAGGGGTAGTTTTATGTGACGAAAACAAAACGCTACCATTGGTTAAGAACGTCCGCGTACGTCATTTGTTTGTAAGATTTTGATTTGTACCCAAGTCCGCAAAGAAAAGGAAACTATTTGAATAATAGCCGTAGATCATATTCAATATGAGCATTTAAAAATCTAAGTATCGCATAACATTTATGTAAATATCTTATAAATATGAAGTCTAATATGATGTGCGATATTATAAACACAAGGAGTTTAAAATCAAGTGATTTTATTTGATATACATAATTTCTTCTCTGCACTCTACATTGTAAATATTAATGCGTTTACATTTTATTAGAAGTTTATGTAACAGAACATGAATTGATCATGTTATGTTCTGTTGTTACTATACTATTTTCACATTAAGTAGTTGAAATTTACTCTTTCTTGCAAAAAATAATGAATGATTACATAAAAATAGGATCCAAAGACCTCTCCTCTTATATATACTATTTATTATAATAAAATAAATAATTATAATATAAATAATAAATTATTTTAATGGTTACAATCTGTATTTTACATAAGAACACAATTTGTTGGAAGGTGTTAAACCGGCCAAATGGCTATTAACCTACCGGCCTATTAAATCAAGACGGCAAAAAATTACTGATAAAAAATTTAGCTACAATGTGTATTACTTAAAAAAAAAGTAAGTAATAATTAATATAATATTAATAGTAATAATGAAAGTATAATTACAAAAACGGAATTTTATTCGAATAATATTTTAACTAAATTTATTTGTTTTTTGCAAAAAAACACTATAGAGAAAACCACGATTAAAAATTTGGTAATTATTTATCTATGACTCAAATTTTACACTCAGACTAAGAATAATTATATTATTTTTACAAGTTAAAAATTTAAAAAAATCAAATTTCATCGTCTATTGATCATTAATTGATTTTATACTTGGCAGGGGGGTTAAACTTGAGGCAGTTCAATGTCTATTATCATTTTAGTCATATATCTACAGCACTAGTAAAATGTTTATAAGTTTTTTTGAAGAAACATGAAGTATTTTTTCACAAAAATTAAGTGGTAAAATCTGTATAATATTTAACTGCCCCAAGTGGAACCATTTAACCATATTTTCTTTGGTTAAATATCTATATTTTCCATAATTGAAAACTAAAACATTGCCATGAGTGTACCAACGAGAAAATATGAGTGGTATATGCCCTGGCGATCAAAATAATTTATTTGGTGAAGATGGTTTTTTTCCATTATGAAAAGAGTAGTTAAAAAAAATCACATTTTATATCCTTTCCAAGACGAAATTATACATACCGTATATAAATGCAGACAAATAAATATGTACATACTTAAATAGTGTACGACTTGAACACTATGTTGGGGTAAAATAAGATTGAAATGTCTTTATTATTATATTAATACATATCATGAATTAAATTAAAATCAAGTATTGAATTTTATTTTATGTTTGTAAATAACTCTGGATGATATCAATAAATAGAAGTTTTCTACTCAAGGAAAACTTCTTTGTGTTTACAAAACTCTTATGGATATCTACCACTGTACTTTCAAAAATTCAATATTAAATAAAATAATTATTTGTACCGTGAATACTGTCTTTTCCTTGGTTTCATTTCGTATTGTTTTCTGAAACATGATACAAAATTACTATTATAATTATTTAGCTTTTTTTCCCGGAAAAGATAAAAAAGGTTGATTTATTGATAAAAATTATTGAGTTTTATGAATACTTCGGTTTAATATGAGATTTTTACCTAAAGGAAATTAATTGAAATCTGCCCTCGTGTGATGGAGTTGACGAGTTTTTTACGAGGGGAGAAAACAATACCTCATATATATCCATGTTATTGATGTGAATGTACGTCGATATCTACTTGAGCAAATAATTAAGATTATACCGCGGGAGGTAAATCTGTCAAATACAAATGTTATTCATTTATTTTTATGGAAAATATGACAGTAACAAAGAGCCATTTTAAAACATTATTATAAATAGATTTTTTAATATATTCGCAAATAATATCTAATTGTAACAATTATATAATATTTAATTATCTATAAAAATATATATTATTATATTTTTAATAGTTTAAGTTAATATTTTAAGTCAATTAAAAAATTTAAGCATATTAATAAAAAAATTCAATTTAAATAATTACAGTTTTTTTATTCCTAAAAATAAATTCAGTTTTCCATCATTAGGGCTGGGATAATTCCCAGTTATTACATTTCCTATGTATTTATAATTTTTTTTAATTATTCTGAACACACCATCATACAGTACAATTTTTTATTAATTGACAAGAATACTATAATTAAACCAATATTGGTAATAATGTATTATTACCAAGGTTATAATTTTGGGGCTATTAGAGACGTTTATCCATCCCTAAAACTAAAAATGCTTATACATTACTGTATAAACATATGACAAAATTGCCAAACATAAGGCTCTTCTAAGTAGTTCGAATCAAATTTATTAATACATATAATTCACTATTTTTACCATTTTGTATTATTTAATAAAAATTTAAAACATATGTACATTTTTTCTTTAGTTAATTTTTTGTCATCACATGATACCTTTTTTATCATCATTTTGTGAAATGAATTATCGATTTAGATTCTAATATACAGTGAGTATAGTAAATATTCGAGCATCGTCTAGAAAATGAATTTGTCTCCCAAATCATCATCTTGCAGATCTTTTTAATAGATCAACACCATTAGAAAAATGGTTGAACGAGTGATGAAACCATATTTAAAGGTCTGAAAAACGATAGCGAATCGAGAGTCAAATTAATTTTCTAGACTATGTCTGAATTTACTTGATTAACTGTATAAAAAATTTATTTTTAAATATCACGCTAACAGGAATATCAAATATTATGAGTTAAAACAACTAAATAAAACATTTAGTTTCAACTTTTTTTTTTATTAAAAAATTATTCATTATAATATTTTAAAAACTTTTGTCAACATTTCTATTTGTAGTATTTTTTTTTTACTCGAATAGTATATTGATATCACACATCTGAGATTTTGTGTACTTTTATTCTATAAAAACCACCAAAATAATTAAAAAATATAAGTTTTTTAGTAACACGAAAAATATTGTGAAACAATTTCACAATATTTATAAAAAAAATATTTGATAAACGTATCAAGTTATGCTATAGTCTGAATACACTTGATCTACCTAACTACCTCTAGTTATCTCTATAATTGTAGTTTTCTAAAAAAAATGCATATTTAAAAATGACTTATTCTATAAAGCACATCATAGTAGTTGTCAACTTTTAGTTTTATAAAAAGTTCTCAGTCACAAAAAGATCACGAAAAAAAGAGAAATGGGAAAAATCATTTTATCATATCATGGAAGCTGTTTTAGAGGAAAAACTAAGGCATTGTCAATTATAATTGATAATATTATTTTAATAATAGATTTTTATTTACTAAAAATCTAAAAACGCTTTAGTTAACGTATGCAGTCGACAAGAACAAAATAAGACTCTAACGAGTACCTATTTTGATCCAGCAATTGGTAACTTGTGACTGAGAAAGCACCGTGGCGGTTTGCTCGTTTTAAGTGGAAAATTACTCACCAATATAGAGCGATGTCCGTTATCATCGACGTGTCAAACAACGTGAGGTATTTTATAAGTAATAATCACGTTTTGGCCGGCATGGTATTTAAAAACGACTGATGTATTTCGTACTCTTACACTAGTAAGGAGTCTCTGAACACTTATCTAAATCGTTTTAAATGTTTGTACCATCTAAATAATGTGTTTTATCTGAATAATTATGTTATCTAATATTTCTAATTCATAAGTGTAATAATATTAACGCATATGTATTATTTTTGTTAATTTAAACAGTACACGAGTTCGTTATTTTTAATACATAAACTCTTAAAGTACATTTATATATATTTATATACACAAAGTGCTCGATTTATCATATTTCACTTGATTACTCGCAAGATAAATACAATAGTAAAAAATATGTTGATTTTTTTAATAACACATATTTATTAATTTTATTAATTACTCTTTAGAATAATTTCTTATCACTTATAGGTGTGTCAACTTTATTTTTCAAATAACAACAAATAAAATTACCTATCTTATTTAATAGATACTGATCTAATTAAAAAAATGACTGTTCGATAAAAACGTTTGCACCAATACTTCGAAAGTTATTAAAATGTTTTAGTGATGGCTGGAAATGAGACGCAAGTATCGTTATTTTTAACACTAGTTATTTCCTGGTCGCACTCTTTCTACCACTAAGGTAAGAAAATGTCAATAATTTCCGAATTACTGATCCAACAGATGTTCGACCAGTAATTTTCTTAATTAGATCATTATCTGTTAATATGCCAATTATATATGTATGTATGTATATATAATTTATATTGTTATTAAAAAAAATAAAGTTGACACCTCTAAGTCATTAAAAATGATTTTAAATAATAATTTATAACTGATAATCAATAAATGGATGTAAATAAAAAACAATTTTTTTCAATAATATATTTATTTTTCCAGTAATTGAGTGGGTGATTATAAATAAATTATTTTATATATATATATATATATATATATATATATATCCCAGTAAAAGTACTACAGAAATTATCTTATCATTTGAAACATTGATTCCGATTCGAAAATGAAACATGCTAATTAAATCTAGATTTCCACATTCTTTATTTAGTTATTCGCTTCTTCGTTTGCTAATTAGCTTGTATACATTTTCACATCTTAAGAAATACAAATTTAATCATGTGATTTAAAATTAATAATTAACATTTTTCATATCATAATAATACTATCCATAGCTAAATAATATTCATAGAATATAAATATCTAACAGACACTGACGACGGGACTCTGGACACCGCAGTTTATCTCAAAACACACGTAATTCAAAATAATTCTCGATTTTTCTTGAAAATTCTATAGTTACTGTATAATAAAAGGCTATAAATATGTATTTTCAAATTTTATTTATCTTATAAAAAATATCAACAAATTAATTTATGTAAGAATAATAAACCATCCAGATGGTGGATAATACAAATTTTGTATTATCTATTGAAAAAAAAAAATTAATCTCAATTTTGGAAGTAAATAAAACGATACTACAATAAAATGTAACTTCCAAACGCGTCAACAAATTAAACAGTAACTCATTTTTTTTCTCTAATTTTTCAGAGAATAATTTTAAGTTTATTCTAATTTGACCTATACATTCATCAAATTTCTAAGTAAAATTTATACAACTTAAATAATTTTAATACATATGTTTTAAAACGAATTTAGAATAGATGAATTATCTTAATTATAAAAATTATTTAAAAAAAAAAAAATTGTGCATGTTTCAAAACCACATTAGATATTTATTAGATAGTTATTAGATTTTTTTAAATATTTATGTAATAATCATGGTTGTTGAGTTTATTTTATAAAATGTAATTTTTGAAAAATTAAAATTCTTTTTTTATTTAACCATTTACTACATAAATTTTCTAATAATTTTTCCTAGATATATTTAAAATAAAATCTTTAGATAATAAAATTGGCCGTTATTTAAACCTTTCCTCAATTCAAACTTGTAAAAGAGATCGTAATTCATCGACAACATTCTCATTATATCTATATGATAAAATAATTGGAAAAAGCACAATTTGTTGATGGGAGGTTGTTATTTTTTTTTCAGGGTGCAATAATTATCACTGTAGTCTACTGTATATTTGTTCAACGACAATCACGCGCGGACACGTTAATAAGGTTGTCATCAGGTGGAAAAATAACGAGGGGCTAATTTCCACAAACAGTAAACAGTAAATGTGTTATTTTCTTCTATTCTATGCAGGGAATGATGAGAAATACAAAATTTTTGCAACGACCATTGTGTTGTAGAGTTAGACAATCTTGGCTTTATGTTATACAATAATAAAATTCACCTCGTGTGTGACAATGGGTGGATTTAATTTTTAAAAATACTCAATTAGAAAATTTTCATAACAGGTTTTATTAGAATCATGAAATAATTTTTGTTTCATAAAACGTACAATTTTATTATTTAAAATCTGCAAAACAAAAAATAACAATATACGTTTACTATACTTCTGCAGTATGATAATAAAATGTTAGTTAATTATAAAACCCATTAAAATAGCAGAGGTGTTATTTAATGAACATTTTTGGCTTCCTCAAAGAGAATGTTACGAAACCAAACGTCATAATGCATTTATTGTTTTCATTATGTTACATCAGAATAAAATTGGGGTACAAGCAAAAGGGTTAAGTTATGAAATCAACAAAATCAATAACTAGCAAAAATTAAATGTAATGCAAATGTCTAAAGACTAGTAAATATTTTGGATACGTACAACATATTTCCATAACTTTCAAATTACACTAGAATAAAACAATAACATAGAAATTTCAATACAGCTACTTTTATTACAAAGTTATTAATTTCGGTTAATTTTTCAATTAACACTAAAAAAAAATATTTTTTGAGTGAGAGTATATATGGACACAAGAAACACAATTAAAAATGTTTTCAGTAGGCTCTTTTAATAACTTAAAAGTATTTTATGCTCATAATTTAAACATTGAGACGCGAAGGATAACACTATTTTTTCCTGTACATTAATTATAAATTATAATATAATGAATTAAATTACATTATATTTATTCAGTCGCATAATTTGTTGAGTTGTACATAAATATTTAAAAAATGTTGACTTCTCCATAAAAATTGTACAAAAATTTCAAAAGACTATATTTGCGGATATCCACACCTCTAACCACCACCCATTCGAACTCCACTAATTTTATTGCTAAGAAAGTGCCAACATAAGAAATAATTATTAAAATAATTTAGACTTTTTATAATAAAAATTTCACAATATTCTTCAAAATACAAAAATAATTTAACAGATTATATAAAATGTTTTTTGAATAGGTATTTTTCTTTCTTTAAATTTTTAAAAAAAAATTATGTACTTTTAAAATTTCTTAATAAACTTGGATATTTCAATAGAGAACTAAAATTATTTTAGTAATCACTTGCAGCCATTTTAACATATACTAAACAACAATTTTAATAGTTTCAATCAAATATTAATAAAATTTAATTTCAAAAATTGTTAATCTAAATAATTTGTATTATTTACATCAATAATAATAATAACTAATAGAAAAATGGTTAACACAATATATATTTAAAAACCAATACAGTGAAACTTTTTTTTTATAATTACTGAAATAAATTTAATTAAAACAAACATTATTCAATAAAAATTCTTTTATATTTAATTAAAATTATTTACAATTGTCAGTTAAAAATACACATTTAAGCTTGCAAAACTGGCCTGGCATATTTTCCTTGTAGATTATCATTGGTTATTGCATATCCAGTACCACCCTAATCAAGAACAAAGCAAAAATAATTTATTAAATATATTTAATCAACTAATAAAATCTAAAATATTTTTCTTGAAGTAAATGTTATCTCATATGTGTTTTATATCATTCTCTTCAATATCTTTTGGTAGAATGGAGGTTAGAATATGATGAAATAGATTTAAGTGCATGTGCATTAAAATAGTCAAAATTATTAAATTAATTAGTGAATATTAATTTAATTTTACTAAGATGGTATTTTGGTAAGTGTATTACTCGAAGAATAAATGTGTGTAGAGATATCACTTCTGGTGGACTGATCTCTTGTGTGTACTTAATTACAGACATTTTTTTTTTTTATAGCCTTTATTAAAATAATAATTAGCTCAACAATTATAAGCAAAAGTAAAAAGTATAACAGTCATAATACTATGTTATAACAGTACAACAAATGCGACAATAATTGTTAGTATACTCAAAATTAGAAAAAATTAAACATTATTTAAAATTATTGTTAACAGAGTTTTTAATGTCAAACTGAAAAATTATTAAATAAAAATTTTTAATTGAAAGAAAGGAAGAAGAGAGAAAAAAAAATAAATAAATAACTATAAAATAATTAGAGATAAATGATAAGCTGTAACTCTTCAGGAATGATATGATGGAAATAATTATAATGGAAGAATGGGAATTAAGAGTATTGGCTAATTACAGCATTGATTAAATAAAAATAGGTGTCCACACAATAAGCAATTTCAGCAATTATCTTTTTGGACCCCAACAATTATTTTATTAGATAGCATTAATATCATACTGTTCTATTAGTTGAAGAAAATTGTAAACCAATAAAAATTGATGACACAAATACTATCTATTTCTTAGTCTTATTTGAGGTTTAAAAAAACATTACCAAAACAATTTTTATAGTATAGTTAATCTATTTTAATTTTTGTATTTCATTGATTACAACTTGATGCCTTAAAAAAATATTTTAAAATGTAAGCACTTAATGAGGGCCTAGAATTAAAAAAGCACATAAACCATGATTTTGATTTTTCAATTATACATAAAATACTTTTTAATTTGAAAATAGTGTAGCATTACTATTAGAAGTTATAATTTTTTAAGAAGAAATATAATTTTTTCATTAGCTTAAATGGAAGATTTAATTTTGCTTTCCTGAAAAGTAAGAAATTGGTTAATACATTTCTTTAATTCTGAACCCTTGTTGAGCTTAAAAACATAAAACTAAATGATTTAAAAAAATTAAATAAATAAAAATGTTGAATAGACTGATAATCTATCAAATTATTGGACAAGTTATTTTATAATTATTATATTAGTTATGTTTTCATTAATTAAACAAATTACTTAATTTCTATCATTGGGTTATTAAAATATTTAATAAAATATAAATAAATTATAAAATAAGTTAATATTAAAAATAAGAAAATACTTTGATACAGAAAGTTATTAAATGTGTACAGGAAGTCATGTTAAAAAAAGAGGCACAATACAAAATTAGAGCCAGTAACCTAAGGTGTTATAGAGACAAACTTAACAACTAGGCCATCATGCACTTAAGATTCAGATCCCGATACACTTCTACATAGATATATAATGTGATGAGCAACTGAAGAAAACATGGTACTATGTGAACTTACTCTTTGTAAAGGAATTATATCTTTTTCTGTCAATTTTTCTCCTGTCAAAGGATGCATCCAATCTTTTTTTATCAATTTTTCAACACATTCCATTGTTACTACATGACCACTGTGATTAAAAAATTTAATTTAAAATAACTACTAAGAAATAAAAAAAAATACAAATAAATGAAAAAAATGATATTTCATAGTTTATAGGAATCATACAGAATATCCCAGAAGATATTCTAAATACACATGTTTTGACTTGGCCTTATGATAATTGATACCCAATTATTCACATCACATGTGTCAGTTTTTACCCTAGTCATGCAATTGACTATTGGATTAACCATCTTTGTATTAGAGTGGGTATTAAGATATTAGGTTCACTGGGTGACTGTAATGGCTACTTTACTTTCATATTCATTGGAAAGTGACTCTTAATATTAGATTGTGACAATAAAACTGTGAAAAATATTTATACCTTGTACGTATTATTGCAGCAGGCACTGCATTGCTTAATACATCATGTGTCACAGCACACATATAACGATTTTCTTTTACTGCTAATGATTTTTTATCGCTAGGATCATTAACTAATGTCCATTTAACATCTACAAAATTTTTCAACTTCAAAGGTTTCCCACTCATTGGACAGTATACCGTTTTGTCCTAGAATGAATAATATATATATGAAAAAAAATATTAGCATTTAAACAGTTATAGTTCTTATTACTGGCTTTTGAATAGGTGCTTTTTTTGCATCTGGAGTTTCAGATGGTACCCAAAAACTTGGCAATTGTTTATCAAGTCCATTAGCCATATTAGAAATAGAAGATGAATTTTTTTCAGGATTTTTCTGTGCTTTCATTTTAAAAATATCATTTGATTTTTTTACCATACTTTCAACCTTAAGAAAATCATTAACTTTTGATTGACGTTCAGCTCTTCCTAATTCCACCAACTCTTCTTCTTCTTTATGTTTTTGTTTTTCATATTCTTTCAACTTACGGCTAATCTCATTTTTTTTTGTTATCATATACTGCAATAATGCTTCTTTGTCAAATAAATGACCTTCGGGTCTAAAACCAAATATAAATTAAAAGTAGAAATTACAAAAATACCAAAAGTAATACTAACGAAACAATAGGATTTCTACATGGCTGCAATGTTAAAGAACAGCAATCATAATTTTTAATAGAATCTTTTCCTACACGTTCATTTTGAGTACCATATCCTGATTGTGAAGCATCTTTCTGTTTTTCATGGTAAGTATAAACAGCTCCAGCTGTACAATTTCTGGCATGTCTGGTCATTTTGAATGACTAATTTAATACTAAGATTGTATTTTGAAATTATAAAGTAGTACTCAGTAATATGTAAATTATAGAAGAAAAATAATTAATAGTATACCAAAAAAAAATTTATTCAATATTTTAGATATTACAATTAAAAAAAATATTATTGTTAAAAATTCAAGTTTATAATATCTAAGAAAATTTTTAATACGATCCAAGAAATATTGTTAAAGTTTTAATTATCTTAGCAATATAGATCTACTTTTTCATGATATTTTGTTAATCTATAACGCGAGTCCATTAATTATAATCAACCTATGATAATGTCTACCATTATCATAGGTTGATAAGTGATATAAATATTATTATATAATAGAACAAGAAAAAAACGCTTTTCTGTTGAATTTAACATTTTGTATTTTATGTAGTAATTTTTTTTTTATTTATACAATAATATTGAGAAGTAAGTATAATTATGCGTTTAAGTCAAACAAATACATCACATTACAATATGAATGAAATATATTTAAATTAAGCAATAAAATTCATATATTAAGTAAAAATCGTAATATGATCGAGTTATTTCAGCTATACCAATAAAACAATCGGTTCAATGAAATTTGTACTTATTACTTTTATTTCGTAAAATTTAATTTTAAACAATTTTTGTATGAAACATTAGGTCGTATCACATATGGTTCATCATATATGATGAAATATTCGTAAATATGCTAATTTCGGCAATTTTACGAAATATTATGTATTTTGACATTTTTCTTGAAAACTAATGGATTTAAAAGAAAAACTGTAAGGACTTAATTTATATAAAACAATTATTTCTACAATTTAGTTCACATTTTTTTTTTTGTGAGAGCGTTAATTTACGAGTTAATTTATAAAAACTAAAAAAGTACCCCTTTTGGCCGATTTTCAACCCCAAGTCGGCACGGGTTAAACTTATCTGATCACCCTGAAATTTTTTGTAGTCACTTTTTATATGTATACACACAAATTTGGGAGATGAGCCCGAAGAATTTTCAAAATAAGGGACACCCTATTATACATATTTCGTAATTTTTAAAGAATGCATCTTTCTGTTTTAGAGTTACAAGTCCCTAAGCCTACTAATTATAATATCAACTTTAATAATTTAATAGAATAATTTTCAAAACTCTGATTATGGAAAAAGTAAAAAAGATGTAAAGTTAAACAAAAATACATATCACACAATTTTATCGCTTGTTATTGGATTATTAAATCAAAAACTTACCAAATTGAATATTCTTATTTTGTACACATTGCAATCATCTATGTATCCATAAATAGTACATATATCTTAAAAATTATTATTTCTTAGGATATTAATTGAAATACTATTTACAAATTGTATTTCAAGCACAAAAGTAAGTCGTAAAAATATTAATACTTACCTTATTACCATGAAATTATTTTGTAATTTATAGTATTCATGAAGCTACTGGGTAGTCTTATAAAGTTCGTCTCAAAATACACAAATACAACAATTATACGAATACATTACTTTAATAGGTTGTGTTCTTAAAACAAAAATTATCTTAATTAACCATTCTTAAACTTTAATTTATTGTTAAAAAAATAATAAAATATGTTGGTATATTCGCATTTATACGTATCATTTAAATTGTTTTAAAATTTTATTTTAAAAGTGACCTTTTTTAAAATAACTACTTTAATATATTGACTAATATAGTTTTAATTGTGTTAAATATTAACACAATTAAATATTTTTATATTAAAATATTAAAATTGTTAACCAAGAAGATACAATATGTTTGAATACTTTATACCTTGTTCATTAAAAATGTCCAAATTACGCAAAAACTGGGTTTGCTAATTTATGATATTTGATGCTAAGCATAAACATTAATAATTAATAATTATATTACATTGTTATCATCTATACATATAAGTAAGAGTATACTATATTACAATAGAATTATTTTTAGCTTCGATGCGAAGCGGAGAAGGTATTAATTTTACTATGATGTGTTTTTTTTTTTTTTTTTTTTTTTTTTG